CAGAGAACGCACCCGCCTGTGCTATCCGGTCATAATCGCTACACAATAAAAAACAATTTTTCATTTCATGTCTCACAGAATATATAATTTGATATGGCATTGTTTGTTATCGTATACTTTTGCGTTAGTGAAACAAATGTGGACAACTTTAAAGTTTATGTATGGCGTTATTACAGCAAAGGCTGAGCGAATGGAGAAATAACATTGTTCAGGCACTGTGAGACTATTAAGGAAGGTCTCATGCAGTGCAATAATATTCCCAATTATGTACTGCCACAAAATATTTTACAGTAGTGATGCGCGAGCTGAACAGACTTAAGAAATTACGAGTTGATTCGTGTAGCATATTTGGCTGTGCTCCAAGAGAGACAAAGTGCGATTCTATTGGGACAGCTAGGAACACTTGCGAGGACAAAGGGGCAACGCATCGCCCTTTGTTCACCACTGAACCTTTTAATCCCTCGAATCATGCACCTCACAAGATTTGCCAACACCACAGACAAGGCGTAACTGATACTGGTAGCAAGAGCGAGTGCAGCTTGATAAGGCGTGTTAGCTTGCGTAATACTGCTTTCTTTGTCAGGCTGTTTTGGTGATAAGAATATTGAGGTCATGTGAACGTTGATTTCAAACGTATTAAAACGTGTGAAAATGAAATTACATGAACCAAGTAATTCACATGATGGATATATATGATCATATTGCTTGAGTACAGGCAACATGAAGGTGTATGAACCGTTTATATACATACCCATGAAATCCGGTATGATACATAAATATCTAAGGTGTGTAAATATTTGCAAATTTGAAAATTTACATGTGTTTCCCCACCTAAGTAAATTCACATGTTTCCAACCCGAGTAAACTTAGAACGAAATCGGAAATTTCAGCACCCATTGAAATTCAAAGGAATGCATTGGAAATACTGTATGATCATGTATTTACCGGGGTATCTGTTTTGCAATTCATGTTTGGAAATCCCTGACAATCCGGTCAGGGCATACATGAACGAGGTGCTTGTGCATACGAAAATGTACGATGAGCATATGTTTCAAAGGTATAGATTCATATGAAATATATGCCTGAAGTTAGGAAATATCTGAAAACATACGTAAATCCGGTCATGGCATTTATTTCCTACTGTATTTACGATTATTTCAATGGTGTTTGGTCCTGTGTTTGTATTACGTTCAGCATAGATTATATAAGCATACCATTGAACTTTGGGGCAATACTGGAAAATAACATTTCTCTGAAGAAATGACTAGGTATTTAAAATATACAATAAATAAAGCAACATATATTTTGTGGTGAATATTCATTTATTGGTATCTTGGAACATAATAGGTATTTAAAATATAAAAGCAGCATACATTATGCAGTGATTATTCATTTACTGGTATCTTGGAATATAACAATAGCCTATCAATCCTACAATACTACAGGATTGCATTCGATAATCAAAATCAAATATGTTTTTTTAACAAAAGGAGTACATTGGAGTTATACATATACATGTACATTATACATATGTTGCAAAAAGTAGTAACTTGTATTCCATACAGTAAATCATGTTACCGGCAATAAATTACTTTACAAACAGTAAATTACGATGATCTACAAAACTGTACATTAAATTGTTACGTTTAATAAAAGCATAATTAATATAGTAATTAATCATGCAAGCCATCTTGATTTATCATCGATAACCCGGACCATCTTCTCAATTGCTGAATCCAAATCGTTAGTGAAAACGGCATATGTTTTGAAGAACTTAATTATTATGAACATGAACATGCACTTTCCATGTCTTCACTGTAATTCAAAGACGATGATGAAATTGTGTCTAAAACAGAGTTTAAGAATCTTCAAACATATGTTCTTTACTACACATATAAATTCTTATAAAAACTAGCGGCTTCCAAAATTGTATCGTGAGAATCTGTTAACATATTGCCATCACATAAATCAAATGAGTCAATTGATTTACTTACAAAATTCAAACTCAAAATTACAAAAAGAACTGCTAACTTTTTCACCTTCTTTAATAAATCTAATTCTACTAATGTCTTGAACGGTGTTTAAATGAAATATTGACATGAACAATGGAGTAATATATTCAAAACAAGATTCCATTCTGTGACTGTGAACGCGATTATTCTGTGACTGTGGGGTTCATCTCTCTTATAGCACACCAGGGTGTCGCGTTTAACCCCTCACAGACCCTACATGAGGCAACTGTCATTGACATTTACTATGTATGGTGTCTTGTATGGAGCAACATTTCAGCCTCAGATGAAATGCTTCATCTTTGAATGAGGATTTGACCATAGTGAAATACCATTGTGTATTCTGCATTAGCTTGTCTAAGTGTGTTTGTCATATCCCGGAACGGCCTCGAATTAAGTGTGCCAATGGCATTTCCATTACTTTCAGGCAAGGAGTCATTTTGCGTTAACGTTATTTCTAAACTGTTTATTTAAGGCTGGAATTTCTTGTAAGATACAGTGCATTAAGACACACCAACTGGAAGTGAGTGAGTAAGTGAATTGATTTTTACGCCGCTTTTAGCAATATTCCAGCAATATCTTGGCACAGGACAAAAGAAATATGCTTCAAACATTGTACACTTGTGTCAGATAAAGTCTAACGTACACAGAGTCAGAACCCGGCAGTTGGGACCTCGTGACAGAAGAAATCTGTCTTAAAAGCAGTCCATCAGAATTTGTCTGTGAATCCATGTATGCATCCGTCACAAAAAAGGCAAGTCAATTCTTCAGCTGAAAAATACCCAACAACATGGTAACATGGTAAAATGTCAAGAAAGCCAATGTAACATCAGTTTGGTAACTGATGCATACGAGCTGTACAGCAGTTGGAAATACATTTTACCACCGTTGTCAGTACACATAGTTCATGTCTTGTTTGACTACATGAAGACAAGGTACGACAAACAAAAGATAGCTTGTTACCAATGGGACGAGGAACATGAACACAATCATGCACCATGACTGCAAAATGTCCTGTACAATGGGTCAACTTTCTCGATACTTGAACAATCTGGAACAAGAGAAGCAGCAAATAATATTGTATCTCTACTGTTTGCCAGTGAATGCTAAATTCTAATAATTGTCACACCTTTGAAGGCAATGGACCTGTCCTGATCCTGATTGTTAGACTGTCGGAAGAATTTGTCCCTGAAATGTTTTCAATCTTATATAAAATTACATACTTTGGACAGTTATGATTGAACACATTTCGTAAAATACGTCATTTGGAATAGGATCTTCAACAGAACAAGGTCAACTGGATTACCGAAGTCTTTTGTGCTCTTCAACCTTTTCGTCTGGACCACAGCGATGAGAGGCTTGAAAGCAAACACGCAGTCAATAGTTCGAGCAGTTCCACGATGGTGAGTATACTGGCCCCGAGAAAAAGACTCTCCTGTCCACCAATTTTGGCTGCGCCGGAAAACAATGTCAGGGTTCAAATATGGTGTGCATAGTCACAACGCTTACTGTCCGTGTTTTATCTGGACAAATTTCGCAGTTTGCTTTGAACGAGTGAGTGAGTTTAGTTTTACGTCGCACTCAGCAATATTCCAGGTATATGGCAGCGGTCTGTAAATAATCAGACAATCCAGTGATCAACAGCATGACCATCGATCTGCGCAATTGGGAACCGATGGCATGTGTCAACCAAATCAGCGAGCCTGACCACCCGATCCCGTTAGTCGCCTCTTACGACAAGCATGGGTTACTGAAGGCTCATTCTAACCCGGACCTTCACGGGTTTGCTTTGAGCGAGAATTAGTATACAAAATGTGAATTTAGGTCACTTGTTTGTGATGTTTTCTTTTCTACGAGTTATACAAGTTCGAAACACGAGGATGTGCACGCTTTGGTTTCATTTAACAGAAAGAGTAACTATTCTGAGTGTGTTTCAAGACATAAAATGTCTCCCTCGGAAAGAAGAAACAGAATGCATGAGATTGCCAACAACATATTTTTTAAGGATTTCCAGCAAACTGTTTTAGTATTTTGTGACTATATTTAATTCAAATGTTTCTGCTGCTGGAGTGAAGTTACCGACATTCATCATGACCTTAGTAGCATATAAAGTATGCTGAGTCATATTAAGTATCCTGAATCATATCAAGTGTGCTGAGTCAACTACAAAAGAAATGTTTGCTCGGAAACCATATATACTCATGCCAATAAAGGTTGTCTCCCCTTATTGGAGAGGGTGTGTGGGGTGTGTGTGTGGGCTTGGGGTGGGGTGGGGTGGGGTTGACAACCATTATTGGCATGAGCATATCAATATATCAAATTAAAATAATATCTAATAGTGGGTCCTTGAGTCAACTACAAAAGAAAATGTTTTGTCCAAAACAATAAAGTTATATATTAAATTTAAATGATAATAATAATCTAATAGTGGGTCCCTGAGTCAACTACAAAAGAAAATGTCTTGTTCAAAACAATATATTTGGAATACTTGGGTTAATGTCAGTAAATATTCATGTTTAAATTGCCTGCCTAACATATACTGGGTCAGTGAATAAATCTGAACAGTTACATGCAGAACGAATGGCATACATGGATTCTTTCATAAATTGGTATTTCACTGTGTGTGAATGTAATAACTTCTTCAACTCCGAATATTTCCTAAACCTTCCTAGGATAAATGACGAGGTACCTTTCAAGAGGTCATTCGAATCTTAAGATTGACCAACATCACCAATGGCACCATGATAAAATTACTTTGGTAAAAAGTAAAGAACAAACTAAGAATAATAAACCGAGTTTATATTGAAAGCCACGATAAATTCTGTTTGAAATATCCTTGGTGATGGAACACTGTTTCTACACAGCGCGGTGCGGATGTTTTGGTCATCCTTTCCCAAAAGAAAGGGATTGAAATATAGCACCAAAATAGAGTTTGATACAGACCAAATATATCATTCAACTCCAGTTCTGGTATGTGCTCGGTCATTTCAACTACCATGCTGGCAAGTCTGATTTGTAGAACCAGGTAATTTTGTCTGGAAGATAAAAGAAGAACATGAGTAAAAAGTCTTCCACAAAATCTGCTCAGATTCTTATCTCGATGAGAAAACCTACGAAGGATGTCTGTTTTGCTCTAACTAATGCAGTCGTGAGTTTTTGAAAAATGTTTTCATTGCTATTTCCTTCACTACTGATTTACAATGCATATTGATGAGAAATTTCAGTGATAATATTAAATAGATACAGATCCTTCTCACCTTATATCAGGGGAAGAAACCGGCAAATAAGGGACGGATGGGATATTGTGCGACAGTACCATAGATGACACTTGTATGTCATACGATGTCTCTTCACATGGATACCGACATGCACAAATCTTCCCTATCCTGGCTTCCGACTGTACTTGATCTAAACACAAGAATTTTGCATTAGCAAATCCACATGGTCCTAAGTGATTTGGTGTTAGTAAGCTGTATTTCACCTTTATTCTGTACGTTACTAACATAAAGCGTTTTGTACCAGAAATTGTATGACCCTAAGTAATTTGGTGTTAGTTGGCTGTGTGTCACCTTCATTATGAAAGTATATACATGTATTGACTTCAGTGGTCTATATGTGTTTTGTGGGATTATGTTTACACATTACATACTGACGGATCCTGTTTTTCTGTCTTACACTAATCAGACAGTTATTTTTTAAAAGCTTACTGCAATCTATTGGCAAAGAAAATAAAGAACATAAACTCTATTATCCAAGTCCCCTTCTTTCTAAACCAAAAATGTTTCAAGAGTAAGTACTTCATGATTCCCAAATTACTCAGCCAGATTGTTTTTGCATGTTTTTGGGAGCCACCTGTAGTTCCCGATACGCTTACCCTTCTATTGAACATCTTCTAACATCCCTATTTTACCGTGTAAATATATTAGACACAAGTTTATTATATAGCAAATGTCGTACGAGCAAAGAAAGATTTATCGAAAGGTTTTTACGGCTTTCATTAAAGAACCACTAAACTTTGTTTTTTGTTACTCTTTTAACCATTACATATGAAAGATTTGTGGTTAGTCTTATGCGGAACACCAAATTTATTCTTTAAAAAACTTGTGGTTAATTAATACCGAGAGATTAAAAGTGGCCAAAAAGTCGCCTGCTTCCCTCTCGCCCGCCAACGAAACCACAGACAGGTTACGTAACTCTGTCGCCAGAGCACTGCAGTGACGTCATATGAGGAACGATTTTCAGTTAGTTGTATAGAAAATGTGTAGCACGCTCATCATTTTGATGATTTCTCGACATGAACGACGACATGCCGAGTCGTTGCTTTGTCGTCAATTGCTCCTAGGGGTCGGGTGATGGTGTCTCCATGCACAGATTTCCACAGGACCCCGCAGTTCGTGCAAAATGGGTTATGTTTGTGAGTGCGAAGCGAGCGTTGTGGAAGCCTGAAACGATATCTTACTTGTGTTCAGATCGCTTCACGGAAGTTAAAGAATCAAAACTACTTACTAGTTATAGTAAAATATGTATATGATTGATGACCATAAAGATTTTCCATAACACAACTTGTAACATAACGATTTCTTCCTCGGAAGTGAGGTTGTGGTCGAAGTAACAATAATATTGTAAGTAGTATTATATTGACACCCACCTCGCTGCCAGGAGAGAAATTGTTATGTTATACGCTATGTCATGCAAAATCCTATTGGCCATCAATAAAATACATATTTTACTACCAGTAGAAAGTAGTTTTGATTTTGTAACTCGGTGAAAACAAACCTAAATAGCATTTATCCACAGACTGGCGGATGTTCCCGAGAGGGCGCCGCCATTTTTTGAAAATCGTAAAGTCTGTTAGAATTAATGAGATTATAGTTTGTTTTCATCAAGTTAGAAAATCAAAACTACTTTCTACTCGTAGTTAAATATGTATTGGAATCATAACCAAAAGGATTTTGCATGACACAACTTATAACATAACGATTTCTTCCACGGAAGCGAGGTGGGGGTCGAAGTCACAATACTGCGCGATAAATTTCTTGCTACATTCACATGGTTAATGTCCACTCACCAGTATGTAGATACTAGTCAATGTGCGTCTTTATATTTGGTCTTATAATCCTAATTAGTTTATTATCATACTTTTATGCATTTTGAAACTAAATAAAAGCTGACGATCTGCTGATACTTATAGTGAATTTATAACAGAACTGTAATATCTAGACATTTTATAGTTTGCCAATGTGAATCATAATTCGCACACACACCTAGTGTATGTTGTCTGTCTCATTACACTTCACGGCGAAAACAATGATTCTGTTGAATGCTACGACAAATGAATAAAAACAAAATGCAAATATTAAAATTAAAACAGATTAAAGTTATAGGAACAATATCAGGCCATTACCTTGTTTGAGGAATGTATCCATCAATATCCACAAAACTGTTCCAAATGGTGTGTCTTTTAACAGTTTAATATACGAAAAGTGATAAATCTTTTCAGGTATTGGTGTATAGTCTCATTGGTCACCCAAGATAGCACACCTGGCAACTAATTGCATAATGTCCGCCTTTCATTAAAACAGTAATTTAGTTAGCCAATAATGGGCAATCAATCAATGTATTGCCGGTTAATCCTTTGAAAGAAGGACGTTGTTTTTACGCAGACACCGACACGGCAGAGTGTATTCAGTATAGATTAGTAAATCTACATACATAAACACTACCTTTTGACAAATCCGCTGTGTAAGATAAAAAGTAATTAATCAATCAGCGTGTTATCGGTTAATCCTTTGATCGATGTTTATAATGTTGAATATTTACTCCAGACACAAGAAATGCCAAATGGGAACCTTTGTCGGGTAATCTAAGTGTGTTACCACTAATTATACCTGTTATAAATTCATTAACTGACCATCAAGTAAATGATGACAAATAACATGTGTAGGTTTATACCACCTAACACGGGTTACAACAAGGGAGTATTAATTGCTGTATTGCATGTGAAAACTTATGGGCCGACACTGTTTTGAGAATACAAACAGATTTTTACATGACATGATTAAATATCGAGGTAAAAAAAAACACAGAAATGGGATCAATTTGGATCAGTCATTATACAAATAGGGCCTAACGACACCAATCAATTGTGACAGAAGCGTCTATGAAAACAAGCTGTAACTCGGAAACTAGGCAAAGCAGGAGACAAAATTAAAAAACAGTAGATTGTGAGAACATATAGCTTTCATTTTCCACAACAATTGTCACGATTTCAGGTTTATACAAGCCTGTAAACAAGATAATTTACCCCCTAAAATGTAGATGAATTCTGCATCGGCCCTCAAAGCTATTCCTCATATGACGTCACAGAGTCGCGCCGCTCTGATTGGTTGAAATTTCGTTCGCGGGTGAGAATTGTGCACTGTTGTCAAAAAGGTCGATTTAAGTCAATTAAAGGTCGAAATGAGTAGTTTTAATGACGGGGTTTCATTTATAACGATGCCAGTTAGTGATTTATGTATTTTTACCCCCCTAGGGTTTATGTGACCTTTAAGAGCCTTAAGTAAAATACAATGGATTTGTGCCATGAACATGCCAACACAATTCATAAGCACTACGTTTTGGTAATTTCATTGAAATAGAAATGAGCTTACCGCTTTTGGGACGGTAACATATATGCACTTCCTTTACAGAGCAGTGCCGCAGACTGACCTTGGCTGAAAAATATCGCACCAGTCATTATAGCACGTCTGCTACTATAAGGAAGCTGGAATTCAGTATCGCACATGTACTTAATACCAGTTTAAGAAATATCTCAAAATGAAATAATTTTCTGCATTGTAAGGATGTTATTTGTGGAATATTATTGTTAAATGAGTGTGAGTGAGTTGAGTTTTACGCCGCACTCAGCAATATTCCAGCTATATGGCAGCGGTAATAATCGAGTCTGGACCAGACAATCCAGTGATCAATAGTATGAGCATCGATCTGCGCAATTGGTAACCGATGACATGTGTCAACCAAGTCAGCGAGCCTGACCACCTGATCTCGTTAGTCGCCTCTTACGACAAGCATGGGTTACAGAAGGCCAATTCTAACCCAGACCTTCACGGGTCTATTGTTAAATGAGAGGAAAGAAGAAACCCAAATACAGCATGCAGTCAAGTGACTCGAGAAATGCCCCTAAGAGCAATTGTGTTCGTACTATATGAAGGTACATTGCCTTTGTTCAGGAAACGGATAAGAAACAGGACATCCGTGTAACAAAACCTGGGTGAGGTTCTCATCCATTTGTTCGAGGTATCGCACAAAATATCAGAAACTATGTCATTGCTTCCGTATGATGTAAAGTGTTCATTGTTTTGGAAAAAGGGAAAGGTACCTTGCTGGGGTTCCCATCCGGCGGTGCAGTTACAAGCATCCATGGCTGCCTTATTGGAGCACTCCTGGAGACATCCATCAAAGCTGTACATCTTGAACCACTCAAGCGGGTTGACAAAGTCCGAGGCTGTAGTGTCCACACAATCCGTCCCGCGGGAATTATAGGGGTCTGGAAGGTACTTCATCTGAGGGCATGTATCCAAACATGCATTTTAACAACATCGTAAGCATATATAGTTGTTTGTTTGCAAAACAGGACACGCAAGACATTTATGACCCTGCGATTGCTAAGCGGAACTATTTCGGTTACTTGTGCCAGGATCCTGGTTCGAATCGCCATGATTGTGCTTCTGTTTAACAGCTCAATTTCACCAAATGATCGTTTTGTGAAGTTACTGTGAGTACAATCCCATGATAACATTTTCTGAGTTTGTTGAGATATAGTTTTTATACAGACAGAGCAGGTGTGAAATTTCGATGTTAAATTAACATGACAGGACCAAGCATGCTGGTCTAGAAACATGTTTATTTATAATTCTATGAACCGTATATGATTCAAATTGAGTAAATTCATTGGACTTGACACAAACTTACCTTCTTCTTTGTCAGCTGTATGCGTGTCGACGTCACGGCTGATACACCAATCAATGAAAGATCACTGTAGCTGGGCGCTGTATCAGGTTCATCGATGTATGCCTGATCCAATAATTAAGAGAGACCTTAGCGATAGAGAGAGGTGTGTTTATTTCAGTAAAGGGGCCACAGGCCCATTATACAATTTATACCATGTGCACAGTTTAACAGGCGCCAATATAATCAATAACATGGATGCTACGGAGCAGGAAACACATGAGGATATAGATATATCACAATCGCAAAAACGCATTACGTTTTTAAGAGCTGGATATAAATATTTTCCAAGATAATTAATAACAGTTATGTCATACAAGATTACAAGTTTATGAGTGCACCCTTTATTTCAACTATATATTACTTTTAATATATATTTTGACAAATAGCTGAGATCAGTTCGCTTCTATGGTTTTTTCAGTTGCGTGAAGCTACAAACAACCGTCTAGAATATTCTTTGCCCAGTTAGATTATTGCTTGTTAGTTGTTCAACAATATGTCAAATGTGTGTCATCAGTCTGTTTCGAACCGTGGGGGCAGAAGTACCTGAAATCTCAATGGGAAGATCCGGGTTAAAATTGGTCTTCAGCAACCGGTGTCTGTCGTAAGAGGCGACTATCGTGATCGGGTCGTTAGGCTCGCTGACGTGGTTGACACATGTCATCGTATTCCTATTGTGTTGATCATGTTCATGGTGTCAATCACTCGATTGTTTACAGACTGCCGTCATATAGCTGGGTTATTGCTGAGAGTGGCTTTAAACAACAAATAAACAAACTGTAAACTTTCGAGACTGGGACAGAAAAACCAGTGACTTATTATGATATTTACCTGTACCCCTGCCTCGTATGCAGCTCCCTCCAGATAGGTCTCTTGCATGATGTTGAGAGCCATTGTCAAACTTGCACCTTCAGATTCCTGAGCATTGACATCAGAGTGAGCGTTGAAGGTGAAGCAGCGCTGATCTTGTTTCGGACTGTAGGTGAGGCTTTCAGGGAGCACTTTCTTATTTTTGAAGTATATGATCTTGAATATGTCCTCTTTTTTGTATGCCCCACCAGCCCAGAATTTGACATTATCCAGTTTATCGAGCTCTCTCCCTTCCTCTCCGTCCCAGACAGTTCGCCGTAACACAGATCTCAGGTACCCAAAGCTGCGAAGATAGCTTAGCTCTGCGTTAGTGAGATTCTGTTGGGTCTTGTCAAACATGCTCATGGTGCAGATAGTGACATCAGGGAACCTGATTTGTTGTTTGCGTTCTCTTGTAATCTTGGTGATGATATTGTAGCTGTAGTACTTCTTGTAAAGATTAACCAGCGTATTCATACACCCCCCAATCATTGTTAGAAGCAGCAATGTCCATAATATTCTGAAACAGGAGTATGAACCAGTTTCTGTTTTGTTTCGAATCTTAAGATAATTTTTGATTCACGATGATTCTCTCGGCAAAGGTTTAGCCAACTGAGTTCCACATTTATCATAATGTATTAGGAATAGCAAGTAGGATGAGTGAGTGAGTGAGTGAGTTGGGTTTTAAGCTTTTAGCAGTATTAAGGGATACCAGAAATGGGTTCCACACAATGTACCCATGAGGGGAATCCAACCCTGGGCTTCGGCGTGATGAGCGAAAGCTTTAACAACTGTGCTACCCCACCGCCCTGAATAAACGAACTTAATAAACGAACATAAATCGTATGTTATATACATTCTGGCGGTTCCTAGATACTGCACTTTGGAATGTGCAGTTAACACATTGAAGCAAAACATCAGTGCTCTTCAGGGACCACAGACAATACAGTTCCATCTGAACCCGTCATAAACGCTGAGCACGATGATGTGACCTGATTTGTTCGTCATCTTGATGTAAGCGATATGCAACAGTGCCGCCTGTTGAACACTGGTCCTCAGACTGTGTTGTCTGACGACGACAGCTCAAGACTCGGGCAAATGCTGCAACGGATTGTCCACCATTGACCCTACCAACGGCACCAATTGTATTCCGGTGCATGTAACTCGCTGCACGATCTTCTTCACGTTTTTTGGCAATTTTTTCACGTCGGGTGCCAAGACTACTTTTAAAAGAGTCTGGATGTCATTCCGGCGAGGATTGCACAAAACGAAAGTAAACAAAATCAACCTCCCGACAATTATTACCAATAAAGTGTGTGTCACGTTTCTAATTGTGCTGACTGTACTTCATAACCGGTTATATTGTTAGCAATTTGTGCATGAATATCACGCAACTATGACTAGAAGCGGTTATCTCCTAGAAGATGCCTAGTAAGATATGTTCGAGTATCTTATACTTAAGAGAAAGTATGAAAATAATGCCACTGCTTGGTATCTCATCTAGATATAAAGTAAACAGATATAAATATAACGAGACATCTTCATATTTCAGCATCAAAACCAATGACTTGTAACATATGTTATATTTGTGATTACACTTTCTTAATAAAGTACAGATTCTAGTACTTTTCTTGGGTTCAGTCCCATTCGGGATTCGAACCCACGCCCTCAGAGTCAGGCACCTAATCGACAGCACACAAAGTCAGCTGCCTAACCCGCTCAGTCACCTCGAGTTCCACAATCCCGGATGGGACTCAACCCAACAAAAGTACTAGAATCTGTACTTTATTAAGAAAGTGTAATCCCAAATATAACATATATTACATTTTACCACTTTCTAAATGGCATCGGGTAATCAAAACCAGGGACTGTTATGCTTTCTCAGTCAGGCAATTTCAGAGATGTTTTGAGAATCTTTGGATAACAATGTATACATTTAATCATTACACTTTGCAGCCCAAAAAAATTAAAAAAACAAAATAGAAAAAATAAACACAAATACACATGTATGTTGATTCACACTACCAGTAACGACAACAAACTTTGATGGACATTTGTGACCGAAACTGACCGAACTCTTTTGTGCCGCTAATGACAAAGGACCAATCGTTTTTGCTCAGTTTGTTCAGCTCTTTTGAACAAGAAGATTTACAAGTATATCTCACAAAGGCCGAAATACGATAAGAGACAAAAAAAGTAGAAGGGGTAAAATGTAGAAACATTAACATATTTGTCCCCCAAAATGAGTTGTCTTACCTGACTATTTTATGCCGTCTCTGAGAACGAATATATTTGCAACCATGGAGACTGGTATCTTGCAGGAAGGCACAACATAAGTCCAGCCAATGCGAAAGTACTTCTTCTCGCAATGTTCTACCATCCTTCAGCGTGGCAACCGGTTCCACCTTCATCCTGCCTGTTCTGCAGCTGTCTACAGAACGCCGTGTGATCCCAAAATAAGCTAACATAACAGGTTCTATTTCAGATTAACATCAATGAATTCATGCCAGAATTGTAAACAAGTAATAATGCATTCTGTGGTTTAAGTAGTAATGGAGTCTTCCAGCGTCATGTATGTTCAATGCTTAACAATGCCGGGGCTATAATGGAGAGCCAGTGGGTAACGAATTGCATTTAAGGTATTATGTGACTATTCGTGTGTGGTCTGAGTAATAGCCAGTCATGTCAAACAAATTAACAATGAGTTGTAAAATGTTATCATGTGTTAATGTTTAGTTTGTTCTGATATCTCACATTATGTTTTATTGCCTGTAATGTTTCAAGTGTGATCTGCAATTCAACTTATCTTCCCGGTAACTTGTCTGTGTGTCTAATGCACATGCCTAACAGAAAGAAATAATTGTGTAGAGTTGCGAGATGCGTGCAGAAAATTAAGGCTCTGTAATTGACGGTAAACAATTGGATACGGACCCGTTTGAAAACACCAATGTTGGAACTACACCATTACAAAGTAGTTGTATTCAATAAAAAGGTGTCACAACTATTGATACCTTATTTTTTGTATTGAGATAAATATTTCATCAGTGTAAACGGGACACCTGACAATATTTCCATTAGTCGTTGAACGTGATAGATTGTGTGAGCCACCATATTGCTGGAATATTGCTTAGTGCAGCGTTAAACAACAAACAGCCAAACAGATTTTATGAGGAAGAAAGTTTTTTATGGATGTCCATTTCTCATTTTGAGAGTGAGTGAGTTTAGGTTTAAGCCGCACTCAGCAATATTCCAGCTATATGGCGGCGGTCAGTAAATAATCGAGTCTGGACCAGACAATTCAGTGATCAACATCTTCAACAGCTGAAGATCAATATTCTTACCCGGACATTCACGGGTTCTCATTATGAGAAATCGAACGTTTTGGAGTATATCCTTATTCCTTTATCATGTGAATGAATGGTATGAGGTATATATGTATATGCAAGAACAACAAAAGTAATAAGACAACAAACATACAGGCTAAACAATGGAACAAATGGAAGCCAGCACTTAACAGTTAATTAGTGCTGAACAGAAGCAAACATTTAACAGTTAAGTAGTATGATGAACTGTGGACATCTGGAAGCCAGGATATAGAGAATGAACAAAGGGCAGATTGGAGGTTGGGGGTTATAGCACTAATAGAAAAACGCAAAAAGAGATTGACAAATTGAGGTCAGTACAAACAAATGGACCAAGAACAAAATAATTAGCACAGACATTGATAAAGCAATAGGTACTGACAACAACCAAACAACGATCAAAGCACTAAGTCCCAGGCGTTGGGGAGGTCAGTTCACTGGTCGCGGTTCATGGCTGGCTGGTGTCTCCTGATGTTAATGGCTTCTTGCAGTTTTCTGCGTCGCCAGTTGTTGTTGTTGGTAGACAGAACTTGGCTTCCCACTTGATGTGATGATCTTCGTTGTTGAGGATGTGTTCAGAGATGGCGGATTTCAAGTCTAGTTGGGACATGCCTTCTTTGAGTCTGTTGTTAAGGGGTCTGAATGTTTCTCCGATGTATTGTGGCGACTGTTACAGGGGATCTGGTAAATACATCCCCTGGGGTTGGGGGTAGTGAAACGCCTGTTTGCAGAGACGCCTACCCTAACCGTTAGTTAGGGACCAACAATGCGAACCATTAGTGTTGTCCCGCTAGACATGTTATCGTGTCACCTTTTCAATGATATTCCAAACAATGTTTCTCTCAACACTATCTCACTTACCAAATGTGCCTGGACTGATGTTTACTACTCCTCAAAACAGTGACATCAGCAAATATACGAGAAATATGAATCACATTCATTTTCACCAGCTCCTGTGTCAATCACTGGATTATCTGGTCCGGACTATATTGCTTACAGATCGCACCGTACAGCTGTAATACTGCTGAATGCCGCGTGAAACAAATACGTGCTCGTGATATCGACTCTTGGATATGGAAAAGGGTTTTGTCGTTTCTATCATATCAGCTGAACACCGTTTCATAATTTTAGAAAGCTTTGAGTATATTAAGGTCCTTGACGGACGGACACGCATAGTCCCCAACTGTAACAATGGCCTTCTAAGTCACATACATGTATGTTTCATTTGGGATTACTCTTTCTCAGTCAAGCAAAGATTCTAGTACTTTTGGTTTTGGTTCAGTCCCATCTCGGACTCGAACCCACACCATTACAGTCAGGTACCTGAGCGCCAGAAAACAAAGTCAGCGATATAACCCTCGAAGCCATCGCGGCTGTGAGGCGCTTTATTCCATATGCGCTTGTGAATAAGAGTTGTTCCTTTTGAAACCACAGCTCTAAAGCTGACATTTTCAAGAGGCTAAAATTTAAAAAATGTTCCAAATGAATTGTTAGAATTTCATGTTACGGTGAAGAATATCTGCTCATGGCTGTCTGGTTATACCTGCTTTCGGCTGAGGTGGCCGATTTACGAGTTATGTGTTCAAGTTCAAGGTAAATGAGAATGTAACACTTAGATCGGTTAATAAAAGGAGGCATGAATTTATTACGACCCCCTGGGATGGTCGGGAAGCCTAGTGGTTAACTCGATCACTCGTCACGCCGAAGGCCCGGGTTCCATTCCCCACATGGGTACAATGTGTGAAGCACATTACTGATGTCCCCCGCCGTGATATTGCTGGAGTATTGCTAAAAGCGGCGTAAAACCCAACTCACTCATTCGTTTATTCATGCTACGTGCCATTCGTAATACATTATGGTTAATGTGGAACCCAGCTGGCTAAACCTTTGCCCAGAGAATCACCGTGAATCAAAAACTATCGAAACAAAACAGAAACTGGTTCATATTCCTGTTTCAGAATATTATGGACATTGCTGCTTTTAAAAATAATTGAGGTGTGTCTGAATACTTTAGTTGATCTTTACAAGAAGTACTACAGCAACAATGTCATCACCAAGATTACAAGAGAACGCAAACAACAGATCATATTCCCTGATGTCACTATCTGCACCATGAGCAAGTTTGACAAGACCCAACAGAACCTCACTAACGCAGAGCTAAGCTATCTTCGCAGCTTTGGGTACCCGAGATCTTTGTTACGGCCAACTGACTGAATCAACTGCTGGAATATTGCTAGAAGCGGCGTAACTCTAAACACACTCACTCACTCACGTTAGGACCCCAATGTTGTCATCACACCGGAAGAGCATATAATGCCCTTCATAGGTGATTAAATACATGTTACTGCCTGTTGTACTCTTCAGTTTCCCGAAACGGGCATGTGTTTTGTTAAAAAAAGCAAACGTCCTGCGATGTTTTGATGTCGGGGGTCAGCAGGGTCATTCCATCTGCTAGATGTGATTAGGTTATGATACGAGTGGTAATAAGATACGTTTTACGCATATTTGTGACAGGGAAATTTATTCTACTATTCTACAGTATACTCTCATCCTTCTGTTATCACTAATTGTGAGGGTTATGATAAATCGGACTTTCCATTTAGCTGATATTTCACAAGATTCTGGAAAGGTTTTGTCACTTCTGTTTTATGGACATCAACATGCACTGGTCAGAGGTTAATGTCCAGATGTTGTGTATGAAATCTGCAGCGTTCAGAATAACATAAACTGGTCATTTTTTTCGCCTTTCGTATTGTTTTGTTTATGAAATGCCTTAATGGCATGACTAAGTCTCAAATAGGTTTCTAAATAGAGTTGCTACAAATCTATATACTTTTGAATTATCTTTACAGAATTAATGTACGTATATGGTCCAAGTGTAATAACACCTACACCATATTAAAGCTTAGACTTGTTTAAGAAGGAAATAGAACAGATTACTATTTAACCTACCAACAAAAGACTGCTAAGAACCAATTAACACTCGTCGCTGAACTATATGTTTATATAAAGCAGTGCACATTTGAAAGTCAAATAAGTTTAATCCGTACTACCTGATTGTTCAGAGAGAAATTCCTCTTACAACTATATATCTACCAGGGATATTGTCCAGTTTGTGATGAATATATTCCCATCGCTTTGAGGCAAAACGTCCACAGAACACTCATGATTTTTCACTCCATAGTCGCTGTGACAAAAACACAATATTGAAAACCAGGTGGTTGGTATGATCCTGATTATCAGTGCCACATTAGTTATATGTGGGCGGGCATGGTGTTGTCTCCAAACCTCGGCGTGAGAGTGTCCGTCTGCAATCGTAGGCTGTGTAGTACTGAGGGCGGACAGATAAGATAGGAGGTGTTCTATATAAGCCAAGCACCAGTACTGGACGCCAGTTCCAAGCACAGGGTCAAGCCAGCTGCACAAGACACAACGTCAACGAAGAAGATAAGGGACAAGTGGAAAATATACAGGACCAAGTCCTACCGTAACTGGGTATGCATGGCACAGCGGGGAATGCTAAATCACTATAACGATAAATATTTTTGTTAAAACATTTTCTGCATTTAGTTTTTAAACATAGAAGTTTTGGTTGTCGATATTTCTCCATTCAAACTTGTTTGTGATTATATTACACTATTTAGAAAATGTTATATTTCTGTTTTGATGTAACATGGCTTGGGTTTGTTACGGAAAAGTTCCATCCTGGTTCTCATTGGTTTACTTTAATTCCATGGATATCAACAGTAATGCATGACACGTCACGATGATTCTCTATACGTTCCAGAAAACCGGTCAGTGTTTGGAACTCCGACATGTGGAAGCTACTTCTTCTCGCATCAATCAGCATTGTTAATGCTAAAAAGTACGTGTTTTGATGGACTTACCTGTTTATGTTGCAAGAATAACACCAAGAATCATGGTATGTAATATAGTGACGTTCCGTCAGGATGATCCCACTCGTTAATTGATCACGAGTCCAATTTATGTCCATGCCGATAATGGTTTTCACCCCAAATAGGCTGGGGGTGACAACTATTATTGGCATGAGTATATGTAAACACAACGTTTATTGTTCATCAGAGATTATCATTCCTTTTCAAACTGATGTTTCACTTTGATTTGTATCAAGACATAAACTCTGTAGCTTTATAATAGGACAGTATAACCTGTTTATGTAATCAGGCTTTCCGTTCGTTAACATGACACAAAAACGGGAAATACCTCCTTTTTCGAAGCTTCGTATGAATAATATGCGAGGCGAATCGTGTGGTGTCTGGTATAGGAGTTTCAGAAAATTATTTTTAAAAACCCCCATAGGAATCACATTTCCCGTAACACATTTCACATTTCCCCCTGGAGAAGCCTTTACGAAATTATTGTATCGAAACATGAAAAACACAGTACATTTAACAAACCTACGTCATAATGTTGATCAGCTCACGATCCACAATATGTTTTTCGTTCCCATGGAACCAAACTTATGGGGTACTTGAAAATCGGTGAAGTGTTTATCTTTTAAACAGTTCATTATTGGACAATTTGTGTCTGAAAATGTTGTTCGGGATAGTAATTTATAACAACATGCTTCAGTCTGAATCGTATCGTCACGCTTATTGAATGCATAATCAGTGTGCTAATTCCAGTAATAGCCACTATGGCCTCTATGCAGATAGATGTGAGACGTGATCGTGCAGGTCTCCAGATCGTTCTAACCCGTGATGATCCGGGTTAGAATTGATCTTTAGTAACCCATGCTTGTCGTAAGAGGCGACTAAGAGGTGGTCAGGCACATGTCATTGTATCCATTGCTCATGCTGTTGATCACTGGATATAGCTGGAATATTGCTGAGAGCGGGGTAAAACAACAAACCAACGAACCAACAGTTTGGTCTGGCTGTCCGGAGTGATTCACCGATGATGATCAACTCTCATATTATCAGCCACTGATTTGTCTGGGTGTATTCTAATCAAACACCCGCATTGCGTGCATCCATATTAGAGTGAATAACACTGGAATATAATGTCATCCTTTCTGTTTCTGTGCATCTTGCAGTACCTTTCTGATCCTTGCCCCTAAGACCATCAGCCCCTCGACAACCCTGCGTCTGGGGGTCAACTCCCTGAACGCCAGTCAGGACCTGACTGTAACAGCACGTGTACAGACACAAGAGTGGAACAACTACCCTTACTACCACTATGAGCAAATCTACGTCGACCATGCCAATAACACAAACACAATCCTCGGAGGTAGGCCACAGCATGAGTCAGTGTGAGTGAGTGAGTGAGTGAGTTGGGTTTTACACCCCGTTGAACAATCTTCTAACAGTATCACCGCCGCGTGACAGAGAACGCTGCCAGTAACACAAACTTTGTTCTCGGAGGTAGGCCACATAATTTTTTTCGCTGTTATATACAGTAATTTATCAAGTTTGACACTACTTATGCCAATCATTTCTCACGACGGTTTCAACAAGATAAAACCTAACATTATAACTAAATATGTTTCTTTTTTTCACAAATAGAAACCTTTCATTCAGTATTAATTATACCCTTCATGAAAATCACGGATTCTTCTTTAAAATAATTCGAACGAATAACACATTGAAATACAATTTATTTATCACCCAGTGGAATACACACACTTACACACACACACACACACACACACACACACACACACACACACACACACACACACATACATACATACATACATACATACATACATACATACATACATACATACATACATACATACATACATACATACATACATACATACATACATACATACATACATACATACATACATAATATTGTGCTTTAGCTGCATGCGAAGTGACATTTAGGTCATAGTGTTGACATTTGTTAAAAGATAAGTCAAGTATGATATTAGAACAAGAGGATTGGCATCAGCACTGCCGTCATTGTCATGAACACATTATACCGTAATTCTTCAAAATGATTACCTTCTGTAAAACACTTTATTCAGAATGACCCATGTCTTATCTCGGTATTATGGTTTATCGGTTTCAAATGATTTATGGTGAGGTGAGGTGAAATGAGGTTTAACGTCGTACTTAAGAATATTTCGCTCATATGACTTCGTGCATGCGTGTGTATGTGTGGCTGCTTGTACTAGCCCAGACTGAAGCTGGTTTTATAGTGCTAGTTCACTGAGATACCATGCAGCAGTTAAGCATGAATACCACACTCAGACACATTTTTCTGACTCCGAGCCGACCAGTCCTTGTTGTACCCATTAATGCCGAGCGCCAGGCAGGGACCAACAAGTACCATATTTTAACGTCTTTTGGTATGACGCGGCTGAGGACTGAACGCGCGACCTTCCGCTCACTCGGCGGACGCTCTAACCACTACACCACGGAAGCGGTTGCAAATGGTTTATAAGGGCTTGTAATATGTATGATATGTATTGTCTCAGTGATGCTTCCTATTGTAATGCATTTTAGACGTTATTTTACATTTTTTTGAATTAAAATCAGTGGGTCTGCCTGTAGAGGTTATTGTTGTGAGTATGGTACGCCGCCTTATCAATATTCCAGCAATATCACGGCGGGGAACATCAGAAGTGGGCTTCCACATGGGAGTCGAACCCGTTTCTTCGGCGTGAGGGGTAAACGCTTTTACCACTACGCTACCCCACAGCTATAGAGGTTATTGTAATGAAAAATTTACTTTTTGTACTTTCAGGAGATGCAGGTATCGTGAATGTCAAGGTAAATTGGCTAAGAGGTGTTTGATCAAGGTTACATTCAACGCCACAGTAAAGCTTTCAAAAGGTTTCATGATAGACATGTGAAAGACATTTCAAAATTAGACAAATCAGTGACAAAATAATGTTCGATGCAATTCACTATTATGATGTGTAGGATACGTACCGACTGCTGTCGGGGGCTCTTCCACATGTTTATGACACTGGTGGGCAGGATACGCTAACCTTTTCGTGCAGCCCTGGTGTAACTATTCTTATGATAGTGATAGTGATATAAACACATGCTAATGGTATGGTAGGAATCGCACAATCGACTCTGCTTGAGATTTGTTTATAGATGCAGAAAGGGGTTTATCGTTTTCATTAACCTAACTTTATCGAGTGGTACAATTCACGACAGCGTCTTCACTGCGTCAACATCCAGCTACATCGTTTGTACACACTAAAATTGTCTAAATAATATGCACATATGAAATAAACACTTCGAACTGATGTATTAAACGTATTCGTAACATGTTGGATGCAATTGTTGGTAAACTCAAATGATTTACAAGTAAAGTTGTGGTTAATCTGTTTCATTTCGTGCCTCCCTATTCCTCATCTTCATCTTTGATCCATGAACATTTGTCATGTTATTTATCATTTTATAAAACATATTCAGCTCTTGACGATATCTCCCTTTCTCTATCAAGATGACATTTGTTTCGAAATATAGTTTATCGTGACTAGTGGCACGGGCGGGACACAGATAGGTCTAAATGCATTTATATTTTACACGCATGCGCAGTTGTTCTTTTGTACAATTATCCCACATATGACGAGAGTAAGCAAAGACCGAAAAAAATGAATATGGCATATTTCTTACATCAAGTGTTTTTCTGTTGAGGCGATACTAGTGACATCTGAGAAAATTGATCATCGGACTGATCTTTTCAATTCGATATTCCAAAATGTTACTTCAGGAATAATAGCCTTATTAATGAAATTGTTAGATCTGGATTTGCGTGAACAAGTGTAATCTGGATTGAAATCCTTTTACTCGGATTAAATTCAAGTTGCATTTCTTTAGTCCAATCTGTTATTTTGGATAATTCATTCCTGAGAAATTGTGCTGCTACATTGAGATCGTTGATCGATAAGCAGTTAACCTACTACTACGATTTTATTGCGAAAGTGTCAGATAAGGATACAGAAATCATGTGGCATCAGAACGGCTATCGATACATTTGGCAGAAAGTTATTATATAATAATACATAAGATCCAATCCTACGATATATGGGGTAAACTACTATACTATTATTGTTCCAAAGTTATTCAGAAAATAAACGACAAAGGTTAGTACTCAATGGTTACGATTCAGAATAAGGACAAGTTCCGCTCGAGGACCGCTGTTATTTATAATCAGTAATGAATACAAATATAAGTAGTTCAAACATAACTGTATTTTGGACGGTTGTGTGACAAAGATGATGTCATTATCTTATGTTTAACCCTTCGCATGTTCTTGCTTTTTGAGATATTGAATGTTTAACGAACTTTCTGAATGTTTAAGCCATTGAACACTGCACTGGAGGGATGTGCCATTTACATCTCGTTGTTGTTAAGAACAGCATTGTATCCACTACACTAAGTTACTTAAATAGTTCACTACGGTTTCTACACCAGCCACAACTGACACTAACTCGAATTATTGTACCGCAGACTCCCCAGGATCTGAAATATGACAACTACTTCCTGAAGGTCCAGGTAGAGACTAGCTCTGGAGAGAAATACACAAGAATGTACAACCTGAAGTACTACAGCAAGTACCTGTCAGCCTTTATCCAGACAGACAAAGCCATATACAAGCCCGGATCCACGGGTAAGTAGTTCACGCTTCGTCTGCCTGTTTTGAAGCTTGAGAGGGATAAATGGTTTAACTATCCAGTGAATAAGTCAATTTTCATGTGAAAAAGTTATACTACCCGTAGAAAAGATCTAACCGTTCAAGTGGTTAAATACTCGTAGAACAGTTTTAACTGTCCAAGTGAATAAATGACAATGGACGATTGTGTGATCACTGAAATTGATCAGCGCATAACCTGTTTTAATCTAGCTGATAGCTGGAACAATTTCGCCTGTCATATTTTCTTCACCCTATTTTCATGGTGGTGGTTCTAATTCACCTGCGTGGTAATATTGTTAGACCCTACACCCAAATGTTGCTGCTTACTAGCCTTACTTCCTTCGACAGTAACCATATACGGGATCTCTGTCTCGGCCTGCGCTGAATTATCATGTTCATGACACTTACGATGTTTTGATACGATCTTTGAATACGATGTTACGGTCTATCCAGATTTCTGCAAAGATTGTTAACCACCCGCCTCTATTTGCAGTCAACATCCGTACATTTGCTGTGTACTCTGACCTTCTTTCCTACACAGGAAACATGACAATCGAGATCTTTGTGAGTGTTCATCCTGCCCCATCCTAAAGTCATAGATTTTCATTTGCATTAACTATGGGGTGTATTGTGGTGGTATGGATGCTATATATTTAAGGAAACAAATAAACCACATTAGATATCAATCATAGAATGGTCAGTTGAATATGTCATGGCCCGTTGTGATGAGCGAAGACACAATGCAAAATTGTTTCCAATTCAAAATCATTTTAGGTTGATTTTGACCATGATAGGTTGCTTGTACGGTATTTGTGCTCAAAGTATAAAGGGAAGCAAATGCACATTCAATGTGATTGGAATTAGGTTTTGTCAAAGTGTTTTTCAGCTGAATACCCGATGTACTATTTTCAAGGATTCTAATTCTGATTTGTGAAATAATACATGCATAACCCCAATCAAACTTGGATATATGTCTTGGTCACAAGAACATTTTAATTAAGTTTTATGTATGTGACACGACATGTATGCTGTCAATGCAGGATCCCAACAACAACAAACTGATGCTGCAGAAGGATGTGAAAGATCCTACTGGTGTCGTTACAAAGTCCTTCAAACTCAGCGCCATGCCCATCCTCGGAGATTGGAAGATCAGGGTCACAATACCCAACGTAATTATAGGACACGGCTTCTGTGGTTTTTTTAACTTTAGAAAACTTGCTTCGACCAAGTTTTAAAAGTTAACGTATTATAAACATATATACACATGCTTTTGCTGCTGTCTCATCAAGCCAGTGATCCTTCACATTGCTTCTGTCATTTGCATGTCATTTGCAATGTGTGGGTGTAATCATTGAAGTTATACCTGTGTACTTATATGAAATAATATGAATAAATTGTCTCATATATACACATTTCAGAAATGTAATTAATATCATATGATGTTAATACTCTCTTTATGAAGACAGTGTATCTTTACTTGCCTAAAGGCAGGCATGGTTTAACATCGATTAACATTTTCCCTCAACATCATACCACTTCATCTGTTAGGCCATGTGTAACATGTCTGTAAAAACTTGAAAACTTACTGTCAATCGAACTTCACCTTAACAGAGCCAGATGGAAGAGAAGAAATTTGAAGTATCCAACTATAGTGAGTATGATTTTGATTAAAAGCTAAATAACTTGGATATTGTATCCTATAAGGCTTGGTAATTAGAAAATCAAATGTCTTGGGGTTATGCTGGGTTGGAGATGATGTTCGTAATATCAGAAATGATGACGTTCCCCTAAACAGCAACCTGCTTAATGAGACTGTCAGGTATAATATCTTTGTTCACAAATGTATATTTACATGACATTCTTTCTTTCCCAGATCTTCCACGCTTTGAGGTTACAGTGGATGTTCCCAGTTTTGCTCTGGTAACAGATCGAGACATTAAGGGCAAAGTTTTTGCAAAGTATGTGAATTTAAACACTATTTCTTTCAAAGTATGTTGATTTAAACACTATTTCTTTCAAAGTAAGACACTCAGAAACATTTCCAAAAACCGCAAGGAACATCTAATAAAAACAGAGTTCATAGTGTGACTCACACCCAATCATAAGCGTGTGTTTATGAATCACTATGAAAAAATGATGATACCAGGTGTTCGAGATGAGCGTATGCTGTTAAAAACACATGTATGCTCATCTGCAAAAGCACTTTGAAAATCAAAGAATCAAAACGTGTTTTGAACCTTAGGAAATGCATGTCTTTTTTGGCATCATTTAGGTATACATTTGGCGAGGGAGTGTCTGGTGTCGCAGAGATTCACGCTACGATACCTGGAGATTATTCTGGATCTTGTTCCTCTGAGCAACCGAAGATCCTCATGACTTTCCCAGTATGTAGATGCACCTTCTTTTCCAACAAATACTATAATTTTTGTTTGTCTCAATTAAGAAAGAAAGTGTGTTGCTGTGATAATTATGGAAGATGGTCATTTTCATCCATGGCTTTACAAAACGTAACAAAGCTATCACTGAAAACAAAAACATGATATCTTTAAATTTCTTCAGAATATGAAACACACAGTTGTGAGGGAGACTGCATAATCATCTCTCTGGAACCATGTGGTAAAGAAAAGCATTCTTTCCCGCCTTTGTCTGCCGACATGTCATAGAATACACATCCGTATTAAGTGATTATTTTAATTTAAATATTTACACAGCTTGATGGAGAAAGTAAGTTCACGATTCCAATGGTGGAGGTTCAGCACCTCGAATCTTACCTCAATGGTCGGAAACTGGAAATACAAGCCACTGTCACAGAAACGCTGACGGGCAAGAAACTAAGTGGTTCCTCGACTGTGACTTTCTACACCAACGCAGTCAAGTTAACCTACCTCGACTACAGTGATCACAACTTCAAGCCTGGCCTCGACTACACTGGCACGGTAAATTGTCACTGAAAATAACTCTGTTCACAGTATAACCTTTGAGTCTTGTTTTGTGTTTGGTTCACATAAAAAAAGCAATGTAAATTAAAGTAAGATAAATGAAACTGACCAATTATTATTTCCACACATAACAAGTTTAAATTAAAACCACAGTTCACTCTACCATTACGATTATGTCTTGATGAATCAATATGAAAGGGGTTCGCAAAAATGTGTACAAATGCTGCCCCAAAGGCGCCAGACACAAAGACATGCTGTTCACCTTGTTACAAGAAAAACCAGGGCATTGCATCTAACACCAGTTTTGTCGCAGTGCCAACTGTGTAAAAAGAACTTTAGACGCTCTTTGAAAGAAGACGTTCCAGTGGATCTCACAGTTCAGATGTGTCGACACCAAATACTTGACTGGAACGTCTGGAGTGTATATTGTCCACAATAGAGGAAAAAGTGACTTTTGGAAAGTTGAAGGCATCTCTTTTGTCTTGTTTACAGAGATCTTTGTACACTCTTCTAAAAAGAAAGAAACACAACCCCCAAACCAAAAACAAACAAAGGCATATAATTGGCGTTTTTGCGTTACTTTAAGAGCAATTATTTCATGTAATGTCAATGGTACATAGGTGAAAATTCACAGGCAAATAGGCAAGGAGTCGCCAACACTTCAGTAGCCTTTATTGGTGTGTTTCTGTTTACTTGAGTCCACAAGATGGTGTCAAAGTTATTACTTTGTATGGCCACCATTGGCAGCAATTACTGCGCGGCACAGATTGGAAAAGTCGACTGATCGCTCTCGCGGAATTCTTCCCCACTCTCCCTGCAATGCGATGGCCAGTTGTGGAAGTGTCTGATTCATGTATCGAAGTTGGCGTACACGTCCATCGAGTTCATCCCACAGGTGCTCTATCGGGTATAAATCTGGTGATCGGGAAGGCCATGGCAAGACACTGATTTTAGAACTGATGCGTGACGCGTGCTGTGTGTGAAGTAGCGTTGTCATGCTGGGCCAACTCCCTCTGTCGGTCCATAATCGGAAGCATGTGACGTGCAAGGACTTCGTTGATGTACCGATTTGCTGTCAAATTGCCCTGAACCACCACTACATCAGATCTTTGATCTTTTGCCTTCTATCTCGCCGGTGAAAAAGAAATCGTTATTCATCACTGAAACAGACTCGCCTTAAGTTTCTAAAGTTCCAGTTTCGGACTTTCCAAGTGATTGCGCCGATGGAAGTCTCTGAAAACAGGAGCGACAACTGGCCTTCTTGATCGAATCCCCACTTCACGCAATCGATCGGATTGATCGGACAGTTTGATCGGAAATTGTTCAGGGATGCCTTGTGCAGTCTCCACGGCTGTGGAAAACGATGACGCAAGTGTGCAACTCGGATGTAGCCGTCCTTGGCTTGGGTGGTAACTCTTGGACGGCGCTTCTCGGGCGATTTTGTGCGGAGTTGGTCTGCAGGAAACGATCCTAAAGGCGAGAAATGGTGCTCTGATGAACGTTGAAATGTCGGGCAACTGCAGACTGCGACTTCCCAGCTTCAAGGTGGTCTATGGCGATGTTTCAATTCGCGGCACTCAGTCGTGGCTGATGATTTTCTCTTTCCCAGGCAAACACGAATGACAAAATTGAACACAACGTTTGCCTTTTTATAGTGAATGCTACTGCAGGCTTTTCCGTTTACTTGCGCGTGTATTTTGCTTTGCATGCTTTTTTGGTGACGTTTTAGCGAATATTTCTTCAAACGCTTCTAAAAGAAGGAAAAAAGTTAAAATTGCCGCGTTTTGGCGCTGACACTGTCTACAATCACACAAAGATGACGTTTTGGAAAGAAATAGTACACATGTATTGTTGTGCCGTAGCTACATGATATTCTCAAAATCACCTCTGCGTTTCTTTCTTGAAGAGTGTAGTTTATGATTTTCAATGTTTAAGCAGATCTAAAGCACAGGAATTCGGTATTTATCCTGAACTACAGCAGTTCATACTATACAATATATGTATTAAGGATTAAAACATTGTTTTGACAAATGCCGTCTGCATAACCTGAGATCTAGCTTGAAACTTGTATTTCTTGAGATAATCTGAAACTCAGAAATTATACGTCTGGTGTAAAGGAAAGAAAATAGCACTTCTCCGATTAACTATACACTTGATTGTCTGGTTACTTTCAGGTGAAAATCTCCCTTCAAAACGATCTGCCACTCCCGACCCCCCGGCAGAATGTGACCATCTACCCGTGTGTAACCTACCGTGTTAGAGTCCCGAACCAGAGCCGCTACCACAGCTGCGACTCCAACTTCCAGGGGACCTATGGTCTTGATGAGCAGACATTCCCAGTTCCTGCAGATGGCCTTGTGGACGTCACACTTACGGTTCCAGAGGATGCTGTCTCAGTGACAATAACGGTGAAGGATAAAATACTGTATATTTTTTGCAATTGTTAAGAAATCTCGAATTGTACTTAAAGAAACAAATGAGGAAACACGGATTGACATTTGTGGTGTTTTCTTATTTCTTAAAATACAGTGGTCACTAAGAGAACACCCACCAAGGACGACTTTGGCTTATAGATTCCGCCAATGATATTATGCAGGAGTGATAAGGATGCAGATGTTTGTCTGTATGTTAATATAATTTGCATAATTTGACAAGACTAGTACCATTTGTGTTCCTTTCTAGTGATGCTAAACCACCCCTTTGCACCTTTGTATTACTTGGAATCGGAATCCACGAAACTAAAATATCTCAAAATAAATTCTAAAATAAATTAGCTCAAGTTTTGAGACTCCCTTTATATGTGTTAACACTTATATTTAACTCTTGTTTTGACTATAGTTCTTATTGTTTTTGAAAAGACAACAGTGCATCCAAGTGACTGATGCTCAAAGATTTTTCCCCTTGTTAATCAACAGGCTTTTTATGGTGAAACGTCAACGTCATGGACGATAAAGAAAGCCTACTCCCCATCTGATTCCTTCATTCAGCTCTCCCTCCACGACACCAACGTTACGGTAAAATAAATATGTCACACAAAATACATTTTTCATAAAAACAGCTATACGTTAACAAAAGGAATTAACTTCAAACTTTGGTCTGACTGATCAGTAATTAACGATTCTGAAAATATCAGTATATCTAGATGTGAAGTCATAAATTGTGATTTATTATTGCCTTCAGTCCGGAGAAAATGCCAATATCGTCATCAGGTCTACACAACCACTCGATACAGTCTGGTATGAGGTAAATATATCTTTAAGCTTGAAGTCTGATATCATGGAACAGTAAAAGTGTTTATTTGCTAAAGCTACAGTATCCAACAATGAGGAATATAGGTTTCAAGAAAGGGAGCAATGAAAGTAATGTAACGAAGCGAACTCGATCAATTCACTTCATACGTATAAGTATAATAATCAATTATCTGTGATTGCAAAGATCCATTTTCATTGAATTTGCGGGTGCTTTTGATTTCTTTACCGTAGACTTATTTTTCTTATATTTCCTTTTCTAATAATCAACTTGAATACAATAGAACAATTTTGTTATTCAAATCAAATACACGACATACCTAAATCACATCTTCTATGAATTTGACAGTGGTGAACATAAACAACTCTTGTTTAAAGAATGAAGTAGATCACGCTACCTTTTGGTGATTGCATATGCCAATGTTTGTCATGTTGGGAAAGTTGAAATTGGCGGTGATATTGTACACATGACCACTTTTTGTTTAGGTTATCTCCCTTGGGTCCTTTGTTACTGCCGGACATCTTGATGGCGGTATGGAAAAGAGCTTCAACTTCACTCTTCCAATCACTCCTCACATGGCACCTCATGCTCGTGTCCTTATGTACACCATCCTTGAGGATGGCGAGGTCATTGCAGACAGCATAAACTTCAATGTGCAGGGACTCTTTTCCAACAAGGTATTGCAAAAAAGGTCATTCAATACCAGTCATTGGATGTCCTAAACTTTACTAGAAATGTAATTTTTGTGACTTTTTTCTTTCTCTCTCTGTTTGTTCAACGTTACAACATTAACGGCTTTGGTAAGGTTTTATCGAAAACACGTGGAGGACATATTGAAATCTGACATATCAGAGAGATATGATGTTCGGTCATTTTGTCACTTGCACCGTTCACGTATTTCTTTAGTGGAACATTATCATTGTCTTTGTAAGCGTTTATGATGACAACCTGCTAGGTACCTTTTTTGCGAACACATGAACTACTATTTGATAGTTAAATATTGAATTGTTTATTTGAAGGTGACTCTCGACTTTACCAGGAACGAATCTCAGCCCCACGAGACCGTTGATGTCCAAGTCTCAGCTGATCCACAGTCATTTGTCAGTTTACTTGTTGTTGACCAATCAGTGACTCTCCTGGCCAGTGGAAATGACATCACAAGTGATATGGTTAGTTACGTTACCTTTCCATATCTTCAAGAATACAAAACATTATATATTTATCTATTTTCCGATGGTATGGTTTCCTGGTGAACATTAAGATCTCACAAGATAAAATTTTGGATTTAGGTAGAGACTGAGCTAAAATACTTTGACAGCCGTGGCGTGGCCAACACCTACTCGGGAGAGACAGACGCCAGTCAAGTCTTTAAGGTAAGTACCACGGGAAGTTTGGGATCATGGACCTATCTTTGATTATCTAGTGTGTGTGCGTAGGGGGAATGGACAATGTGTGGCGTGTCCTGCCAGGGTTGTATTTGTTGGGTGTGGGTGTGGGTGTGGGTGTGGTCGTGGGTGTGTACAGGTGTGGGTGTGGGTGTGGGTGTGTACAAATGTGGTTGTTCCAGAAAAGTCTGGTGAAACTACCTCAGAATTAGTTTCAATAAAAAAGAAATAAAGAATTTACCCAACTAAGGAAAATGTCAAAAAGAGATATATACACAAGACAGATTTGCAAACTGAATCACTGCATTTTGTACATTTCCAGGATGTCAATGTTGCTGTATTCACCGATACAAATGTGCCAACAAATCCTGGTGGAATTGCTTATGGACACATACCAGGTGCGGATTATATGTCATATATTTTTAACCATGAATCTACTTTGTTGTAGGTGCGGTGTGGTAGCCTAGTGGTTTAAACGTTCGCTCTGCACGCCGAATGGATAGATTCGATTCGCACAAGGGTGCAATGTGCAAAGCCCATTTCTTGTGTCTCCTACTACGCTTGTATTGCTGGAATAGTTCTAAAGGTGGTGTAAAACCACACTCACTCAGTACTTTGTTGTACTTGAAATTAATTCACTTGGTGTACACCTTAAATATATAATTAAATTGTGTGTACATGTAAAACGTAGACAAGTGATGGGAACGTCATACATTACATGACAAACAGATACAGTATATAACATCGTTTCCTGAAAATAATGTTTAGGTTTTTATTATCAGGTTTTTCAACGTCTTCACCTAATGTTGGACCAACATCCCCCACCTACATTTTTGCTGGAACAACAACTTACCCTACAGGAGCAACACCTTACCTTGGCCCAACACCTTACCCGATCGGCTACATGCCTTACCCGGGAGCAACACCCTACCCTGGTCCATCGAAATATCCGATAGGTTACACCCCCGCCCCAGGAGCAACACCTTACACTGGACCAACTAATGCCTTACAACAGGTACAGCGAGTGAGGAAGTTCTTCCCAGAGACGTGGCTCTGGACAAACACAACCGTTGGGTGAGAAACAGTTTCAAAATTCTTCATTAGTGAAAACACAGTATTCTTAATATTTAACAATAATACAAGGAACCCTTGTTTTGAGTGAGTGAAAGATTGAGATGGGTTCATCACTTTGGATAACCACTATCATCGGTACGATGTTGCAAAATAAATAGTCATAATCACTGGATTTTATTCCACGATGATAACATTATTGTTAAGTCAATCACATTAAAAGAATTAGGCAGGAATTCACCACTGAGAATAGAATCTGGTAAGTAACACCAGCGTGGTTTCGTTTATCCGTTTAACCCCTGCATATTATCTGTTGGCTTTCACAACTCTTCGCCTGTTCATTTTGAAACTCCGATGTCATTATCCAGTTCCAATGGCATTGCAAGTATATCTGCAACTGTTCCTGACACCATAACGTCATGGTTGGCGACAGCATTCGCAGTTAACCCTGTGTCCGGGCTCGGAGTTACATCATCAGCATCCAAGGTATTGTCGAAGGGCTTTCAGAAATTGTTCCTACAACATGTAAAACCATCTGGACCTGAGTTAGACATGTAGGTCTGTCTTCATAGAAGTATCATTTAATTTCAGACAGTGATTTACTGATCAGTTTACCCCTTGAATGATGTATTCCAGATGAAGGTTTTCCGCCCATTTTTTGTGAGTGTTGCTGTTCCAATGTCCGTCATCCGCGGTGAGCAAGTTGTGGTTCAGGCCAACGTCTTCAACTATCTGCAGACTGATCTCGATGTGAGTCCTGTTATTAGGAAACTACAGAAAACTAAATTCTAATTCGCTGAAATCAGGGCGACAAAATAATCGTAATTTGGAAAAACAAGTGAATCTTCGATGTATATTCCCGATGGTGAGCCATAGCATTGATGTTTATAAATGTGAAAGAATATCTTCACCGGTGTCTGTAGGTGTGTCCGGAATTAGCATAGCTGGAAGGGTCGATCGTCCACGCTTTGAGCAGACGTTTCTTACGAATATTGAAATGGTTTTACAGCTATTATGTACGATTCGTGTTGTGTTCTTTATCCTTCCACACTTCTGCCATTTTTTATGATAAACTATTCCAATTAGCGACAGATATCCAGTAGAAAAAAGCGGGAGATCTTCATGACTATGTTTAACAATTATACTAAATCAGCTACCGTCGTCAGGTGGTGGTGACGATGAAAAAATCCAATGACTACGATAACATCCTCTTCGACCCCATAACTGAGAGTCTCAAGGCCTTCTCTGCAGACCAAGTTAAGACAGTTCGCGTAAGTATTAAAACACATATTTATTAGGTTTTGACTTTTTAATATAATGTTGTGAATTGTTGTAATCCAGTTTTGACTAAACCTCTTTATGCCTATCCCGATTCTGATTTTCATTGCATTCTGTCGAGCATTGCAGTATTGGAGCATAGTATTGTTGATTTATTCCCAGGTTGCTTCAGGGGAATCAAAGACTGTTAACTTTCCCATCGTCCCTACAACCTTGGGACAACTTGACATCCAGGTGTCTGCCAGATCAACTGCTGCAGCCGATGCTGTACAGAGAAAAATCACAGTTGAGGTTAGTAAGGGCAATGTAGATTCTTCGTAGAAAAAGCGCTGATCTGTGGAATGGGCTGAGCCTGCGTGTCGGCCAAAAGGAGGAACTCAGCAGCTTCCGTTCCAACCTGAAAACCGTCCTTTTCTCCAGGAGCATATGACTAAGTGCACTTGAGCAGGGATTCTCTGGATATGATGCGCAATGTCCAATTTATCCTATTCAAAAAAGAAATGCATTACCCAGAAATTTCAAACATGTATAACTTGTCCACAAACATGACTATATGAAATGAATTTTTACATCAGTTTAGAAGAAGGTAATGTCTATACAACCAAGTGGATAATTTTAGATAACGGAGACGTTGAGGGCGAGGGTGACCACGTAGCATGGTCCCGACGTCGGGTCTCCTGGCTCTCAGTCCAATCTCTCTCAACCTGTTCCGTACAGTTTGACCGGATATCCTTGGCTGCTGTGCTCTCACCCATGACAGTACGATCACGCAAATGTAGTACCCCGATGTACCGATCTTGGGCTGCAGTGGTGACGCGAGGTCTGCCTGTACGGGGACGGTCATTTGTTATACATGTTTGGTTGTAACGAGCTGCAAGCAGTGATGTCATGCTCTGACTAACATTCAGACGTCTAGCAACAGAAAATTGGTAATCTCCAGCCTTCTTTCAATGGCGATGTTCCGTGTCGCAAAGTCAAGACTTGGCGTAGTGATTTAACCTTGAAACTCTTTCAAAACGGATGCCGATTTCCGAAACTAATCTGGATTTTTATAGTCAGACAGTGCATGCTCTTTGCTGCATAATTTCAACTGGAAGGTGATTTCTGTTGCGTTGTGGCGATGCCTTCTTAATTCTTGTAAGAAATCTCATCAAAATCAACATTTTCAGGTAAAGTCGACTTTTCACTTGTGCAATTGTGTACAATCATGTTATCAACACTTTTGTTACATATTTTGACGATTGTTTGATCGCAGTAGGTAATTAATAGATTTTAAAAAAATACAAAACGCCTAAGCGTTTCTTTTTTGGGATAGTATATTATTGTTCTATGCTTCTTCCGCCCCTATGCCAATCTGCAATCATCGTTGTCTGTTTGTTAGTACCGTGGTCGCGTGTTTCACCAAATCAGTAAATGGCACTTTCATCTTTCATCCAGATCAAGTCTGCATGCAATGATGTAACTGTAATAATGTTTAAAGCTACTTTAAACCCAACCCACCCCTAGTCCCTTTGTTCTGTAACGTGTACAGAATTTGGATGGCGGCATGACTACAACTGGTTAAGTTCTTGTAATCGTATTAATTTCTGTTTACTCTTTCAGCCGGAAGGTATCAGAAAGGAGACAAACTTCCCCGTCACCATCGATCTCCTGTCTGGCAACACCTACAACAAAAATCTTTCCATTCCTCTGCCAAAGTACATCGTAAAGGACTCACAGAAAGCAAGGGTCAGGGCTTTTGGTACGTGGAAGCTAAGATGATTATTTACCCTTTAATGAATAAATATGGATAGCTGTGAACCGCTACCAGGGCATTATGAAATGCGTCATCATCCATTTAAGAGAGACTGTTAATCAAATATACTCATGGAAACAAATAAGGTAACACATGAAAGTACAAGTGTTCCTTTATTTCCAGTATTTCACCCATAGTGCAATACACAATTTGTGAAGAAACCTGGAAAAGAATAAAGGAGCACTTGTACTTTCATGTGTTACTTTATTTGTTTCCACGAGTATATATGTATTGCCACATTGTGTGTATACACATTAATCCGGTCAGTATCCCTGGTTTACAGAAACAGTCTTATGCACCAAACTTTTCAGTAGAATCAGTTAGGAAACCGCAAAGGGACTCAAAGGTATGCACTCAATGCACCTTTAATATATACTGGACAAAATAGTTAGGGATATACGTAAATTCTGAAATTCTGAATAGTGATCTATTTATTCATGACACACTGATATAATATCAATCATAAAAATACCAATATCCCTATCTTATTTTGTCCAGTATATATACATACATAAGTGCATGACATGTGTTGTAGCTCGATCAAGGTCTTGATTTAACGTTTTATGTCTGGATCATTTACAATATTTAATTTAGTGTTCTTACCCTAAACAAATGTATGGAGTTCATTAATTCAGTTTCTGAAGCGGACACGTTCACTTTCATCTTAAAAAAGACTTGATTTGGCAGTGGCATTTGGACTATACACATATCTGTGACATAAATATTACTGATGCAGTGATGCGTATATTCTTGGGTAAATGGTGAAACTTTAAATGTATGTTAACCGTAAGTGAAACGTGATCTCAAGTTCAGCTGATACCCGTTTCTATATATTCTAATGTCGTATTTTCAAATATAACATAAAGATATTTATGAGCAGGCAAGTGTTGGAAGGTAAGCAACAAAGTTAGCTATGCTAAAACATGTGTTCTCCTGAAGTCCAGTATGAACACATATGTTTGTGTAAACAGGCGACGTGGTGAGCCCCAGCCTCGAAGGCCTGGACAGTCTTCTGAAGATGCCCACTGGCTGTGGGGAACAGAACATGATGGGACTAGCTCCTGATGTCTACATCTCCAACTACCTTGTCAGTGCCAAGAAATTTGACGGAAAACTTGAGCAGACAGTCATTCCATTCATGGAGGAAGGTAATCATGTTACTCTCCCCCAACGGTTAGCATATACATTTTGAAATAGCCTACCTTCAGTCAGTTAAATGGTGAGGGCTATACATAATATGTAGGAATTAAACCTCAAAGTAACTCAGTTCCATCATTCTATTCCTTGCCGAAATAGGTAAACCTGCATTATTTCGCTTTAACAATATATGTATGTTTTGGGCTGAACCTATTTTGACAGCTCCATAATCATCTATTATTTTGCTCAGGTTTCCAGCGTGAGTTGACCTACCAGCACAACGATGGCTCCTACTCCATCTGGGGGAACAGCGACTACTACGGAAGCACCTGGCAAGTACACCCATTCACTTTTCAGGATTTAACTGGATTAACTGGAGTAAAGGTGTTGATTGTTCTATCAATGAAATGTATAATAAATCGCATGTATGATAGAGCCAATGATGTGAATTTGATGAGGATATGGTATATATAGGGTAATTGTTTATTTTAACTTACAATGCTTATATTTGTTCAGTGTTTCATTTCAGGTTGACAGCATTTGTTGTGAAAACATTCATCCAGGCTCGTAAGTACATCTACATAAATGACCGAATCATTGCCCGTGCTGCCACCTGGCTTATAAGCAAGCAAAACAGCAATGGGGACTTCAGCGAGAAAGGATATGTGCACAGCTCCAGCATCCAGGTACGTCAGCATACAGGTTGTAAGTTAAGGACCCTGCTCATGCAAGTCATTCAATTTGCATTTTGTATTATTTAATCATTTGTTTAATTAGTTTTGTTTGTGTGTTGTTTAACATTTCAGTTTGTTTGTTTGTTGTTTAACGCCGCACGGTCTGTAAATAATGGAGTTTGGATCAGACAATCCAGTGATCAACAGCATGAATATGTATCAATGCAAATGGGATACGATAACATGCGTGAATCAAGTCAGCGAGCTTGACCACCCGATCCCGTTAGTCGCCTCTTTCGACAAGCATGGGTTGCTGAAGACCAAGTTTAGTCCAGATCGCAATTTGCATGTAAGATAAATGAAAGCTGATCATGTGCCTGTTCCCTTGTGTTTTCTAGGGAGGATCTGGACACGGATACGCCCTGACAGCATTCGTTCTTGATGCCCTGCTTGAAGTCAAAGGACTGGAAGGGGTAAGTGTAATCAAACTTGCTTCCAAATGAACACATGGTTTTCACCATTGTAGGTAAATACTCACATTCAATATTTCTTGCATATTTGTCAATCAAATCATTCAATAAAATGGAGACGACTGTACATTGCAAAAATACAAACTATTCCGTGAAATCTTAAACTGGAATAAGAACTTAATATCAATACTGTATAACACAATACCCTCTTCACAGGTGAATGCGTTCAACCTGAATGATTCTTTGATCCGCGCCAGCGCCTTCCTTGAGTTCAACATCGTGAGATATGATGACCCCTACACTGTTGCAATCGTCACTCATGCTTTAACCAAAGCAGATAGCATCTTTGCCGAAGACGCTTTCAAAAAACTTGAACATATTTCCAAAACAAAAGGTATTTATTAAACGAATGGTAAGAGTGCTATATTATAACATCTCAAGATTACAGAATATCATGAAAATATCTCGACATCTAAAGCACTTCTTGAAAGAGATATACAGCAAACTGTATGGCTTCATCTTTAAATACCCTTATTTAATGCACTGTATTTTGATAAACAACACATTTACTACAAATTTACTAGATGACATGATGTTCTGGGAGAGATACAGCAACTCCAGATCCACCTACTGGAGACCATATCACCAATACGCTGACGCCATCGACATTGAGACAACGGGCTACGCTCTGAAGACATATGCACTCAGGAAGGACTTTGTCAAAGGCCTGTCTATCATGAAGTGGCTCATTTCCACCAGGAATCCCAATGGTGGCTTCGTTTCCACTCAGGTATAGCAAATATGATATGATTAAAATTATAATGAAAAAGTCGACAAAAATGAATTGTTCCAGTGCATCAGAAATTAACTGTTAGATGACTTTATCAACTTTGTTTTCTTTCTGAGAATTTTAATGAACAATGTTAAATCCCCTTTTCAGGATACTGTTGTTGCTCTCGACGCCCTTTCTGCATTTGCCACCGTCATCAACTCAGATTCCTTCAAAATCAGCGCCGACATCAGTTCTGGGAAATTCAGCAAACATTTTGAAATCAATGCCCAGAACGCCCTTGACCTTCAAGCTACTGATGTAAGTTGTCACATTTTTATAATATCAATAGTATGCAATATTTTGAAACATTACATGGTAATTTTGCTGTGTCATGCAGGACATTGTTAGAGGCCTAATATGTGTTTACCAGGTACAAACTCGTATTTCAGGCCAATGATTTCACCGGTACCTTCAACGTAAGAGCTCAAGGCCATGGAGTGGGATACCTTGAGGTTAGTATCATCAGATATAACGACATCACTGAAAACTATTTTGACAATGCTGTACAGTAACCTTCCTAGCATTGCTTATTTGTTACATTCAGACTCAGACTCAAGCCAACTCTTATTTGGAAGAAAAATTGTTTGCTATTTGTCAGGGATGGTGAAATGTTTATATTTAGGATTGTTGCTCTTGTAACTACACTGACATTGTCAGGACAGTGGTTATTAACTGGAATGCTGCTTTTATATAGATTGCATCGTTCTTCAACGTGGAGAAGCCAGTAGAGGAGCAGTACTTCGATATCAGCGAGGACATAGAGATCGAGACGTTTAACATGTACACACTCAGGACCTGTGTGAGGTAAGGGTACTGCTTGTGTCTGTGGATGGTGTTAAGACTGAGAGGGAGTCCATGCTCCTCAATGTTGGTTCATCGTCTAAAGAGATCACAATCATTCTACAATCTCTTAGTCGGGTGTTGTAATTGATTCCCTTAGCATATTTAAATTTTAATCTCTTTATATGTGCCTCGTATATCCTGCAGATCTTTCTTTCGTTGAACTAGGTTATGTTCCTATGTATTATATCTGTGACGGCTCATAGACACTATTCCATAATCTCCAACAGTTACAGTAAGGCGAGAACCAGCAACATGGCCGTGGTCGAGATCACAATCCCATCAGGCTTTGAACCGGATATGGAGTCACTCTATGTCACCCGCAAAACACAGAAATCGGAACTGTTGGGCAAGACTCTTGTCGTCTACTTCAACGAGGTGCCTCGCAGTTATTCAACTTTCAGATGTCAAACAGCATGAAACAAGCAATTACACAAAAGAGACACATGTTTTAATGCAAACGCCCAATGAAACGTTTCAACTGGTATATTGTCAAAGTTATCATATCGTATAGATTATTTGAATGACATTTAAAATTGATACACATAGAGTGGTGAATTTATAGCTATGAACTTCAGAAGTTTGGAAACACGACTTTTCAGAGCATATACTCATATATAAACGTCGAACTTCCTCAAACTGCAAAAAATGACATTGATGAAACATTTGACTAATCTATCACTTGAGATTACCGTATATAACTGTATGATTACAACATTTATTCAGTACACTTATTCATGTATGTTTCTGAAGTCTAGATTGGCAGACATGAAGTACTTCTGATAAATACACATGTCTCAATGATTATATCCTATTTTGACAGTTGGAAGCCAGTGAAACATGCATCAGATTCACTGCAAGAAGAAATGGTCTGGTTGCTAAGCTACAAGCATCTCCTATCCATGTCTTTGACTACTACGAGCCAAGTAAGTTACGCTAATCTTCACATTCTGCTTGAATAATTACTATCAACATTCTTACTTAAAATGAGTTGACATTATTCACTTGCTTCCTGGAAATCGAATTCATGAAGCCAGGAGTATATTCTTGTCATGAAAACGTCAAACAGGATTGAACATGACGATTTTGTGACTCTGGCGTTTCTCTCTCTTACAGCACACCAGGGTGTTGCGTTTTACCGCTCAAAGACCCTACATGACGCAACTGTTTGTGACATTTGCGCTAAGTGCTGCCAGAAGGTAGGAGAATTATACATGGCCGGTTATAGCTGTTGATTTTGTCATAGGGTCACAATATATTTGTCGTTTTACAAGAAATTGATGCTTGAAATAATTTAAAACAATTAGCACAGATAGTTTACGAGACCAACAATAGAACCTTGTTTGATGTTATCTGAAACAATATTTGTCTGTGTTGACAATAAACAATAAATAGTTTGATTAATTGGAACCATGTAAATGACCATATTTGTAATCACTTATCGTATGCATATCGTATGCTAAATATGTTTACATTGTCTTCCAGTCTTCATAAACAGATTCACGATGTCAAGAAAGAACCGATAAACGAACAGCTATCCAAATTATTGTACAAAGAATTATTAACAGCAATAAAATGCAAATGAGTCTTATCTTTCTGGCGTATCTTTTGGCTACACTCTGATATCAGCATATGCATCAAAACATAACATGGATACCACTCCAGAATATATACTCTCTGTGCGAGTGTCCGTGCATGACACTGCCTGCTTCCCCTCTAAAAAGGATATCAGGTCTGGCACACACTTGAAAACATATACATGTATTATATTCACGTGTTTTATTGTTATGTATTGATAATATTTGACTCTTAAAGAACAACCAGACCAGAAAAATAAACGTTACGTTTATGGTTTACAGCGATATTCCCGTTGTGTTGCTTTGGGGTTTTTCATATTAGAAATGGTTGCAAATGTCCTGTAACAGATTGCATCACTTTGAAACAGAATGCCTCTGACCCGTCGTATACACAGGGACAAAGTTATCTAAGCGACACACGTGAAGTCCACGAGAAAGAACCACAAAAAAGCCACATGTCCATTTTAAGAAATATATTCCATGGAACGAGGGATATGAACTTCACGTCCACAGCTGACTGCAGACATCAGGGGAACAAAAGTCAGTGGACAGTCTGGAAGAAAGGCAAACCAATATTTATTGCAAATAGAAACGATCTCTGTTGAAAACAATGCATGCAAATGCAATAAATATCGTTCTGAGAGAAATAGAAAATGTCCGGAACTAAAGGGTTACATTGTTGGATAAATATGTCTCTGAAATGTTTTTGACCCGTGAAGATCTAGGTTAGAATCAGTCTTCAACAAACTTTGTTTATCGTAAGAGGCGACTGACGGCATCGGGTGGCCAGACTCGCTCACTTGGTTGACACATGTCATCGAATCCCAATGGCGTACATCGATGTTCATGCAGTTGATGACAGGATTGTGTGGTCCAGAAGCGATTATTTACAGACCGCGGCCAAACAGCTGGAATATTGCTGGGTGCGGCGTTAAACAACAAACAAACACACTGAAATGTTTTTCTTTTATGGTGAAAAATCATTTAGAAAACCTATGAGTGAGTGAGTTAAGATTTAAAGTGACATCGGCAATATATTAGCCATACCGTGACTAAAACAGATTCTATATTCTAGATCACCATACTAGGGTCCATGGGGACTTACATTACTTTTGCAACCTGCATGGACCCTAGCTTGATTTACACCATCCCTTCAGTCATTGGCGTTTATGCTGAGATTTAGCCATACATTAAAATGACAAAAATACTACGATTAAAAACCTGGTAGACTTAAATTTACTTGTAATGTTTTTTGACAATATTTTTACCCTACGTCAACCCCCTTCGAAGGTACAGCCACTCATAAAAATTCACTTTCTAATTTAAATCACCAATACTAAAATGCATTAATCTACAAAACATATGAATCAAAATTCATCTATGAGTTCTATTTCTTTGAAAAATTCGATAATAAAATGGTAATTAACATAACTAAAAAGATCCTTAACAGTTTTTGCATTGAAATATTTATCCCTTATGATGGAAAACTTATGAAAAACATACAAACACTTCGAACACTGAGTGGTGAAAACATATCATTAGTACATTATTTAGAGAATGATAATAAAAATGAGTGATCTATCTGGGTTACCAGGGTCCATTGTGTTCTGCAACCTTTAGGTTTATATCTGGCCCACAGTGACGTCAAGCTTGCCAGCAAACACGCGGCCAATAGTTCCAGCAGTTCTACGGTGGTGAGTATACTTGCCCCAAGGAACAGTCCAATCTGACCACCAACTCTGGCTGCAAAGGTACACAAGGAGACGTCAGGTTGACGTTTATCAGTATAGTGAAACGAGAATGTTTCCCACAGGGAAAAACCACCACAATGTGTATGCTGCAGTAGCTTGTCTATGTGAGCTTGTAATATCCCGTCATGACCTAGAATTTACAGTGCCAATAACATTTCCATCACTTACAGCCAAGAAGCAACGGTGAATCAAATCTGGAATCATCTTCTTCCTCAAATTACCATTCTCGGCACATGCTTCTAAGCTTTCAGACAGTGCTTTGACACATACCAACGTTTCCTATGAAATTTATTTTTATCGGGGAGGTGGGATGGCCTAGTGATTAAAGCGTCCGCTCGTCACGCCGAAGACCAGGGATCGATTCCCCACATGGGTTCAATGTGTGAAGCCCATTTCTGGTGCTCTCCGCCGTGATATTGCTAAAAGCGGCGTAAAACCATATTCACTAATTCACTTTTCTTATCAGGACAACCAGTGAGTAGTCAATGGTGTTATTTCTTATCTGAGGTAGGATATCTTTTCAATGTCATATGCTCATAGGCCTCAACCGAAAATGAAATGGCTGATTCTCTACCTACTGAAGATTTGGAATATTTCGAGCATCGCTTTAACATATGAACTAAAACAATCGTTAGTGAGCGAGGGAATGAATTGGACATTTCGTTGAACAGTATTTTAACTGTACACAAGTTATTGAGGATCGCTCAAAGTGACCTCAAAGTGATGACGTCTTGCTGCAGCCATGAGAAACCTGTCTCTCCGAGGTGTAGCACTGTCGACCACCAGCTAGTTGATGGGCAACTGATCCTAACGTCTGGCATCGATGCCTTTGGCTGACACTGAAGACGTTTGCAACGTGACGCTGTGTTGACCCAGTTTCTACTATGCCCGATACAGCGATCGTCAAAGACATGTTTGACTCTTAGTATACCTAGGCATAAGTAAATTCAGGTGTTGCAATCATCAGATGGAATATCTATTGTGCTCGCTGATCACATACAGATATAGGGTGTCAAACACATCACGACTCCATCAACCTGTCCGTTCGTCACATTCAGCTCCCAGTACCAGGATAGTTAATTATGATAATATTTATGATGCGGCTTTCCAGGCTTCATATCCTGTTGAAAGCGCACAATCTGATTATAATTACCATGGATAACCCAAGCCGCCCGTCAGTCGCTAGAAGGTTGATAGTCTCATGGCTTATTCCACAGGGTACCCATTTTCTGCTGGGTGATCAGAAGCGATTTTGATCAAACTCACTTGTCCAAGTTGAGACCACATGTGGTTCGTTGTGGGGCAGGACTGAAGTCCTAGAAACTCTCAGGAGTCAAGCTGCCCCAAACGGTTACCTATACAATGACTGTCTGCGTTCAACGTTGCTTAACTTCAACTGATTTGTGACCTGAGCTCTTTGCACAGGACCACACACCACCATAGTTCAATCTATATTTGTTGGATATTCTCTTATATAATATATACTTTCTCCAAATCAAACTTTGAGTAATTACATAAATGCATAAAGTTCATACAGACCAAATATATCACCCAGCTCCAAGTCCGGCTTGTGTTCCGCCCTGTCAACTACCATGTTGGATAACCTTATCTGTACAATCAGGATATTTTGTCTGAATAAAAAAAAACATGACCAAAATGTTTATGGCCTGAGCGCTGATTTCAAGGTTTTTCGATTATTGTGAGAACATTAGATGCCCTAGTAAAAGTCCCAATTCATAGATGGTCTGATATTTCCAAAATTGAAGCAACAGAGTAAAAAATAATTTCCGATGCATTTCTCTTTTTACTTTTCCTCACGTCGTCGTGTGATATCAGGTAAACGCCTTTACCAGTGTGTTTGATAGAGGCCACCGCTGGGACATGCTAAGACCTGGTACCACTACTTACTAATAGCAAGTGATTACACACATGCTTGTTATATAGCTCAATTCATGCTGCAGAGTCCACATTTACATTCTTTATGGAAGTTGTCGTTATATTTTGTCCACACCGTTTGTACACATCTTAAATTAAATGTTAAATGATGTAACGCGTATCAGTGGAAACTCTTTCATGCATATTTACTATACAATAAATTCTCGCTGCATCGCGATTAGTAATTTCGAAGATGAAATATTAACTTATCAAAGAGCTGCTTCACTTTAGATCTGTTCTCACCTCATCATTTCACGGGTATATGCTGCATGCAGTAGATTAGAGAGGAACGTGACATTTGATGGCAGCGCCATGGATGACACTTGTATGTCATACGATGTCTCTTCACATGGGTACCGACATGCACAATTCTTCCCCATTCTGGCTTCCGATTGTACTTGATCTAAATATATATATAGAGAGAGTCTTACATGATCAAATATATACATGGTTTCATATGGCGGTATCTCAATATCATTATGTAATTTTACATTGAATCAAGAGGTCATCAAATAAATTGCAGGGACACGTTTGCAAAGACAGTTCCTGACACAGATAAACCTGATATTGCAATAAACGGCACGTCAGGGCTAGCTATGTTGAAAACAGCCTTCAAAATTACTAGAGGCATTGTGTTGGTACATTTCGAACTTTTCAAACTAAAACCCTCAATAAAACTTAAGGTTTCCGAAAGTGGATGCTGGACACAAGGTCATTTTACAAGAACCACAAACACAATGCAAAATTAGAAATACAGCCATGGACATTTAATAACCAAAGGTACTATTTGGTTGTAACATACGTGCCACAGAAATAAACTTACTGCTTTTTGGACGGTAACACGTGTGGAGTTCCTTTACAGAGCAATGCCGCAGACCGACCCTGGCTGGAATAGGTATCGCCAATCAATTTAACACAAATGCCTCTGCTCCAGTGAGTTTAAAGGCCATAATTTCAGAGATGAGCTGTGTTTGTATCATATTTGCTATTGCTATTATGATTACTGATACTGATAGGAAACAGGATAGAAAATACAGACACCCGTTTATCTATAACTTGTTCCAGTTATACTTTTTAGAAAGTTCTTGAAAGGCATTTAGAAGTTGGACGAACATGAATACATGACAAGTTTTTTGGATAAGAACTTATTATTATTCATACGACGTTTCAGAGCTAATTCTTGCTCCTTCAATATTTATCACCTGATGAAGGAGAAAGAACTAGCTCTGGAACGTCGTATTTAGAATAAACAGACATTGTTATCCATAAAAGCGTCATGTATTCAGGTTTTGAGAAATGCTCAAAATGACAGAGTCACTTTTATTTGTATCTAAAAAAGAACCAGAATAAATTGAAATATGAATAGCGACACCTAATTGAGGTTCCCATCCAACGGTATCAAATTCGTTATTGTTATCATTGAACGTTACTTGTCCTTTGTTGTGAAAATGAAAACATATAAGTACCTTGACGAGGTTCCCATCCTGCGGTGCAGTTACAGGCATCCATGGCAGCCTTATTGGAGCACTCCTGAAGACACCCGTCAAAGCTGTACACCTTGAACCATTCCAGGGGGTTGACAAAGTGCGAGGTTTTCGTGTCCACACAGTCCGTCCCGCGGGAATTATATGGGTGCGGAAGGTATTTCATCTGTAGACATATGATGAGAACCGCAATTCAACAACATCACCAGCCCATACATGTTAAGTTGGACTCGAGATGCACGGGATTGTGTGCTCTTATGCGACACGCGTCCGAGACTAATCAACACAATCCGTGCAAATGAGAGGTCTGTTAAATCATAGGTAACCACCGAGGACTGAACAGTTGATAAGCATAGGTTGCTAAAAAATAGTTTTGAACTTGAAATCCCCACGCAACCAATATTCTTTCTTGGTATGTAGGAGGACACCTGTTAATTTAGGGGTTTAGGGTATCTACAATTTAACAGGCGTCTGAATATTCCCGACACAAACGTACCTCTTTCTTTGTCATCTTTAAGCGTGTGGACGTCCCGACTGAGACACCAGTCATTGAATCATCACTATAGCTCGGGGCTGTGTCTGGTTCATCGATAGAGACCTGAGTTGGTATATAGAAGACGGGTGAAACAAAACAATCTCGAGAGCTCAAAATATTGTTTGAAAACTACTCTGGGTAGTTGTAGATAAGTTATAATTTGGAATCTTCACGGATCGAAACGTAGAATAACAGATAGGTGCGACGAAGGTGACAAATGGGTACAGGATATTTGTTTTCAAATAGAATGGAGAAAATATAAACTGAATAATCGCGGATGGAAACCAAACTGAGGACGATTTTATAATTGACTTTTCCATCAACATGTTATTTGCCTCTTGAGTTCATGGTCATGCTAAGTTATGGACTCGCCATTGAAGGCCAAGGTTAATCATCACACATTATCCAGTTTGTAATTTGGGGTTGGTTGGTGGGTGTGTTGTTTAACGCCGCACTCCGCAATATTCCAGCTGTATGGCGGCGGTCTGTAAATAATCGAGTCTGGACCAGACATTCCAGTTATCGACAACATGAGCATCGACTGGGATACGATGACATGTGTCAACCAAGTCGGCGTGCCTGACCACCCGATCCCGTGGGTTATGGGTTACTGAAGACCAATTCTAACCGGGATCTTCATGGGTTTGTAATGTGGAGACAGTTTGCTGTGAACAGTAAGATAAAAATGATATTGTTATATTTAATGAGGTAATAACCTTATTAAACACCTTTATACTTTTCTGTCACTGAAATATTATCATATGTATCAACAATTGAAATGTATCAAAACTTTTACCGTAACTCCGGCCTCGTATACTCCTCCATCCAAATAGGTCCATTGCATGATGTCAATAACAAAGGTCAGTCCGCTATTTTCGGACACGAAATCACCACCGTTGAATGTGAAACAGCGTTGCTCTTGTTTCTGACTGTAGTTCAGCCTCATCACGTTGAAAGGTTGGTTCTTGAAATATGCCATTTTGAACATATCCTCTTCTTTGTATGCCCCTCTTTCCCAGAATTTGACATAATCCATCTTATTTAGCTCGGTCCCCTCCTTCCCATTCCAGTCAATAAACGGGTATATTTCTTCTAGGTCCCCAGTATGTCGAAGATAATTGAGTTGTGTGTCATTAAGGTTCTTTTGGCTTATGTGAAACTTGTTCCGGTTACATATAGTGATAGAAGGAAACCTGATCTGTTGTTTGCGTTCCCTTGTAATCTTGGTGGTGAAGCTGTAGCTATAGTACCTACTGTAAAGATCAGTTAGCGTCTTCAGACACACTCCAGCCATTGCCAAAAGCAACACAGTCCACACCACCCTGAAACAGCAAAATGAACCAGTTCGGAGAATGAACCAGAGGTATGACAACCTCATCCTACCATAACCTTAAAGAATTCTATTCTGATTTACATCGTGTCCCCATTCTCCTTAATCATCATTATTACAAATATTCAATAACTATGTCATTCGACACTTCTTTCAGCAGTATATCATAGAGCGTCACCTTGATGTGGATGAAAAGCTGGATGTGATGCAGGTTGTAAATGTTCACCACACCTACGATTTTGACAAATCAAGAAACGCATTCAGAATCTGTATTGCATGTAATTGTATCATGCCAAAAAGATTTTAGAGTCCTCGAAAGATGGCATTTTCACAGTCTACAGTGGTCCGTCTGACTCATACACCAAAGTATCAATGTTGCATCACAGCACGACATTGTGGATGATAACGTCAGCAAAAGAAAACAAATTTATTAAAGCACCTTCCTAAATCTGACTGGTAGGCAATTGCAAACACTGTATTATCCAGAAAACGTTGGGAATAGTATATGGTATTAGGCAATATATTTAGAGTGAATATCCCAGGATCAAAAATGAATTGTAAACATCATCTCGTCAGAAACCGTTCCACCAATCAAATAGATGCTCGCACCGATGCCAACCCCAATTACTTTAAGCTAAAATAACAATTCCATACAGTCAATACCCAATTTGGGGGAAAAAAGTTTTAAAAAATGACAATTATTGTTGGTATGCTCTTTAAAAGCATGTTGGCTCTGTAAACATCATCTCCTTTGACATTACAAGAATGCTTCTGCTGGGCCATTACCTGTGTGTTTTGCGATTACTTAATGGGCTCTTTGCAATGATTTTTTCAGTGTATCTTTATTTCTGCCAACGTTACATGAACATCAAATCTGGCATATTTAACGTTTGATAATGCTTGAACTAGAGCTACACGGTCTTTTAAATATAACAAGATTAATGCCATTGCAACAATAAAGTTCCGTTGGCAGTTCAGCTGAAAGAATAAAGAAGAACCTAATATGTCACAATGCAACCGCTTCCTACAGTTTCACCATGGGGCTCTTCGAACTTTCTTTGTCTTGAAATTGCATGTGACAGAAGAGCACTATTATCTTTTGTAAGTCTGAAGAGCAAAAACAAAACTGTTTGAAATGGAAGATATGAGGGACATGAAAGTGCAAGGGTTCCTTCATTTATTCCCAGATTTTCACTCTCGAACCTGGAAATTGATATATGAGCAATTTCCTATATACACTCTTACAAAAAAGAAACGCATAGGCGTTTTCAGCAGTTCATTGCGATATATTTGCAATATTGTGATATACAGCAATCCTCATATTAGACAATTGGAAAAATACCAAGGTAGAGAATACCAAGAGTCACCACTCCTGCTCCGGAATGATTAATCCGGGTGTATCACCTACGTGACCGATTTGCTACAGCAACGGACATTACAGGCTAGGTGCCTGGTCTTCGAAGAATTTCCGCCCAAACCATCAGAAATCGTCTGAGAGAAGTGGGAATTGGAGCATATCGACCAAAACGTTGGACCTGTAATGACACGCCTACACCGACAACGACGTGTCCAATGTTGCAACAGGGTACAGGCAGGGAACCTGGGGAACGCATGGATCGTGTTTAGTTCAGCGATGAATCTCATTTTTTCCTTCAACGACGTGTCTGTCGACGTCAACACGAACGTTTTGCGCAGAACTGCGTTCGACAGGTCTACGGATTTGGCGGAGTGAGCGTCATGGTGTGGGGAGCTACGTCCTACACGGGTAGATCAGAGCTAGTGGTGGTTCAAGGCAATCTAACAGCAAATCGCTACATCAACCAAATCCTGCGACCGCACCTCCTCCCACTTTCTAACCACCAGAGAGAGCTGTTTCGACCCGACCCCACGCAGCTCGAGTGATCTCGCCAATGCAAACGTCAGTGTGCTTCCTTGGCCTTCCAATTCGTCTGATCTGAACCCGATCGAGCATCTATGGGACGAACTTGATCGACGCCTCCGTAAAAGTCACCATCGTCCTTGGACACTTGCAGAACTTGCCAACGCCTTGCAGGAGGAATGGCGAAGAATTCCCCAAGCAAAAGTCCCACGACTTCTGCAATCCATTCCAAGGTGGTGTCGAGCAGTGACAGCTACAAGGGGTGGTGTCACCAAGTACTGACCTGAACGCCCGTTATGTCCACATATGTAGAGTGAACTGAGTTAATACTGACAATTGCAACAATACATATTTTCATCCGTGTGTCGAATTCCCTTCATCTATGTTCAAGCTTCATCGACATATGTACGCTTAAATACGTTTAATACATATCCTTATTTTTGACTTATGCATTTCTTTTTGGAAGAGTATACTTTCATTTATTCACACCGTTAATGATCCTGGTTAGAATTGATCTCAGCAAACCCATGCTTGTCGTAAGAAGCGACTAACGGGATCGGGTGGTCAGGCTTGCTGACTTGGTTGAAACATGTCATCATATCCCAGCTTAGATCGCTGCTCGTGCTGTGAAGCACTGGATTTTCTGGTCCAGACACGATTATTTACAGGCTGCTGCAGTATAGTTGGAATATTGCAGAGTGAAGCGTCAAGCAACAACAAAATAAAACCTTTATTACTTTCCATAAGGATATCTCGATCAAGAAACACAAACTACCCCAAATGACTCGACTCACCTGACAATTTTATGACGCTTGTGACAATTGGTATTCTTACTGCCATGGAGGCTGGTATTTTGCAGGAAGTCTCGCCATAAGTCCTGCCACTGAGATATGACTTCTTCCCGCAATGTCACACTATCCTTAAGAGGGACCACGGGCTCCACCTTCATCCTGCCAGTGGAGACAACGCCGCATTCAAAGAATATGATCAATGCTTGCTGTGTGGTCTGGAAAAGGTTGACATGTCATATTTTCAGAGTATCATCAATGAAATCACCCCACACGCCCTGTTGTTTGATGAAGTAATACAATATCATAATTGTTTAATGGTCAACAGTGCCAGAGCTGTTATATCAGCCTCTGAGTAAATATATTTATTGAACACAGTTTGTGACGAATTGTGTTATCTGTGTAATATTAATCTTAGTCAAACAGATTTACAATTGAACTGTAAATTGTTAACACGAGCTTTTGTTTTGTTTTTGTTCCACCTGCCATAGGTTATATTTGATGTGATTTAAACAGATCATCCGATGTTTTTAATTTGCTTTCTCGGAACTTGTCTGAGTGCATGTTATAGCTGCCCAATTGATCGATGTTTTTACAGTTGCTAGGCATTTGTGCAGTTTGTTGAAATCCTGGTCTCTCTTATCAACGGTTACCCGTGAAGGTCCGGGTTAGAATGTATCTTCAGTAACCCATGCTTGTCTCCCCATGAAGGTCCGGGTTAGAATGTACCCTCAGTAACCCATGCTTGTCGTAAGAGGCGACTAACGGGATCGGGTAGTCAGACTCGCTGACTTAGTTGACATATGTCAATTGCGCTCGATGCTTATGCTGTTGATCACTGGATTGTATGGTCCAGACTCGATTATTTGCAGACCGCCGCCATATAGCTGGAATATTGCGGAGTGCGGCGTAAAACTAAACTCACTCACTCACTCTTTTCAACGGTACTGCATATGTTACAGACCTTTACAGTTTGGGCAGGAAATACACATTTATTGCGATTGGTGTAACATTTTACCTGAACCGACATCTATGAAGTTAATTATATAATAATATGTACTGTATTTTAATAAAACTTTTCAGAACCGTAATAATGTGTAGAATCTTTGTATTTGTTTGATTGTGATCATCGTAAACCAATAGTACAGTCCGGTGCAGTAATATGTACGCCAAGGCTCTCAAAACACAAAGTGTTTTCCTAATACAAGATATTTACGATCCACATTCGCATGATGACCTCCACACATTAGAATATTGATGTTAAATGAATAATGTTGGTCTATCAACATTGGTTGGATAAGTGTATATGCCGGTTACCTTAACGTCCTCTTTTGATAAAATTGTGTGTGTGTGTGTGTGTTTGTGTGTGTGTGTAAATATTTAATACAGCGAACACTAAACACTAATTCTGTTGGAAAACTACAGTGCCCTCATGAAATGGTAATATTTTTTCTGATGTTTTTAAATGATTATTTTTGTACTTGGTATCAAGTACGTTAATTTTCTGTGACATTTGACCTCGGTGAGGTAATATAACACAGTGTTGGTTAATTCTGTTCATTAGTTTGTTTCATACTGACAATATCTACTACCCGAATAGATAAGGGTTAAAATCGATCTTCAACAACCCATGCTTTTCATAAGAAGCGACCTACGAGATCGGGTGGTCAGATTCGCTGACTTGGTTGACACATGTCATCGTATCCCAGACCGGTGCTCATGCTGTTGATCACTGGATTGTGTGGTCCAGATTCGATTATTTACAAACCGACGCCATATAGCTGTAATACACAACCAACCAACAATATATACCATGATAACGTTACCCATGGTGGTTATTAGATCATGTTCATGATCAAATCATCGACTGTATTGCCACCTTGTTTATGAACAGGCAAAACACCAAAGAGGATCTCCGTAACCACAGTTATATGTACAGAAGGCAGAGAGGAAATTAATTAGTTTCTATTCTAAAGGTTTACTGCTCATTTATAGAATATATCAAAGCTGATCACTAGATTGTTCTGTTTAATGTTTTCTCGGGAAGATTTGGAAATCTTTAGACAGCATTCATTTAGGGTGAATGTGTGAGGTCTTGAAGGATACATTTAGATCTTCATTCATAATGAAACATGGCTGTCCTTTTCATGATCAAATGTCCAGGCACATTGTAACCCAAGTCATTCAAGCATAAAGAAACTTAGCACACAGCTTAGAAAATAAGTATATTTGTTTTCCTCTTTCAAAGTAAGAAAACTTTGAATATAATGATCTGGATTCTTTTCTTACAACTACCCTTGATCACCAGATGTACGCCTGCAACTAAAACAATCTATGATATCTGTGATGTATATAAATGTTTCATTTCGATGATATTTAACAATTAAAGCAATACAAAAGAAGGAAAGAAAGAACAATCAACCAATAAACCAATAAACCTAACAAAAGGCAACATCACCATACAGCTTTATGAATATTTGTGTTTCTTCCTGTAAACACTTTACTTGGCTTTGCAAGTAAAGGATACCATCAGAGGAGCAGGATACGTGCTTAAGCTTTATGAATATCTGTTATAACAACTTTTGCCGTTGAAATGTGATTTTGTGAAAAGAGAAGACGCACGTTCTTTCCTGAAAACATTTGATGCAGATGAAAGTGATCATTTTGTGGCGACGGCGTTTCTCTAACATGGCACAACAGGGCTCCACAGAGCTTCCTTTTAAAGTGAGTTAATGAACCAAATGTATTTTCCAGGTAGTCGAGGTATGTGTTGCTGGTGGGTAGGTATTATATCATACGATGGGATCCGACGTTTAGTTCTTCTAACTCATGCTTGAAACTACAAATAATTTACACATTTCATGTCAGTGATGTGTTTAAGGCTTATCTCTGACAACATACATCAACCAATATTTCTCAAGGATGTGTTTGGAAGCCATATTTTACAATGTTTAGATGGACGCAGTGAAGCGTTTAACTTTTACTTCCCGGAGGAAAGTAACCACAACACAAAGCCTCGTTATTATTTAAAAAAAACGACATATGTATTCAATGGAACATGAATATCTACAATTCAACACAGCAGGGATCAGCTTCCTCGAGACTGCAGCAATCTGAAACAAGGCAAGCAGCAAATAATATTGTATCTAAATGCATGACAATGTATGACAAAATGAAAAAAATTGTAACAATTTCTTTGAGGGGCATTTTAGAAGTTTGGAAGTACAATATTGACAAACCCTATGGATAACAACTTATTATATTTCGTTAGTCCTACGTTTCCATACAGATTCGTTTTCCTTGTCGATCTATATCGAAGCGTCCCACTCACGAATTGCTTAATAATTATCACACATTTTGAAGGAATATGAACGGTCCTGATTGTTACGATCTAAATGATATATGTTTGTATTTTGAATATGTTTCTTTCATAGTCTTGACAGAGAATTGTGATAATTTATGGTCAGTGCTGTGTTAGTGGCTATTCTTTGTCATCAGCTGGTCAACAAACGGTATGAATTACTTCGACAGCAGTTTTGTTTTGGTGCAATCAATGTATCAGCAGCATATTTTGCAATATTCAGTAATGCTATTTGTCCACATTCCAACAAATGGTTCCAAAACTGTTCGCTGTATTCACGAGTTTGCACGAGTTCTGAATATAGCATTTAACAAGTTGGTTTGTTAGGGCTTTCAAACGCATTAGCTTAAAGGTCACATGCAACGTAAAACACAACTTTGCAGATTCTGATACCTTTCGGTATGGACATACCGAAACAAATCGTCAAAAATGCAAATTCAACTTATAAAGTTGAAAAATAACGCGATGAAAAAAAACGCGCGAAATCGGAGTTCAAACGATTCACTAATTTTCCCCAGACTTTTCTGGGGAAAACGGGTTTCAACAGCTGGGCTGCGCTCATAGCATGTGCGCAGTGAAATAGGTTCGCGCAGCTTGGAAGCGGGTTGTCCCGTGAATACTCGGTGAAGGCTTTGGTGTGAGCTATTTTTCTAATGTTTTGTTGATATCTCACAGGCGCGAGCTTTTTATATGTTATGACAGTAAATTAACTGTTTATATCATTTCATTTGTCTATTTCACCACACGTTCTTTTTACCGAGACACTTTCTCAGTTCGATACTTAAAAGCAATGTCATTATTTAGCGTTGACACAATTTCTAACTGTGATATAGATATGTCGTTGTCACAGACAAAACTCAATGTCTTGTTTTATTGACACCTGTGTGTCTGCCTGCCTGTCTGCTAATGACAATATTCAATACACAACTGCGATCACTGACCACATGCAATTTGAAATTAACACCAATCAGGCTATACACCATAAACAAAACGCATTGATTTATGGCCCGAGTTCGGTCTCTGTCACATTATGTAATTACACAGACAGGCAGGTGTGATACTTGAACACATGACATGTTATGATGTCTGTTGATTGCAAAATGTTATACACAAAAAATGAGCATGTATTTACAAAACCCAACATCTCTATATATACACACACAATGAGCCATGAAGGCGTCATCTGTTAATGAACCAGCCGTTACACTTGAGTGCACACCCACCCGCTCTGACTGGGTTCGGTATCCCGGCTGCTTCGTTTCGAGGGAGGTAAACCCAAGTACAAAATATTGCACTTTTGATTTGCGATTATTCGCTTATAATTTTGTTTATTTGTTTTTTCATAATCAGCAATGCATATTATATGTCATGAAGAAGTGATAATTGTGTTTTAATTATGTTTGATGTTTTGGTTGCATGTGACCTTTAACAGTGAAATGGTTATTTTATCGAAATACTGGCCATGTGAATGAACAGTAAGATTTGTCATCTCTGAAGTGGAAAACTTAAATATTGTGAGAGCATTATATGAAACTGAAGATGCCCTTATTTCTTTATTTATCGCAGTTAGTCTACTGCGAGGAAACTTGTATCGAACTGACCTTTACCAAAAACCTATAAATATTGAGGTTTTACTTAACATGAGTACTGGCCCTTGTAAGAAGTTAAATTGATTCTCTGAGTATTTGCTACTACCACCAAGATCTGCACCCGAGGCGGCTCCACTCAGGCTCGCGCCCCAAGCTTCGACGCTCACCTTTTGTTCAAGCTGCGTACAGAAACTGGCTACTGAAGACTTTGTCAGAAACCTATCTTTATGCTGAAGTTGAAAACTTTAATGTTGTGATATTGATTCTGTCTTTTACAACTAAACCTGAATTGACTTTCGACCTAAAAGAACTGCACTGATCATGTTACACTGTCTAACAAACACTTCCCTAAAATGTTGTTTTATATAATAAAGGAAATCTTCAGACAAACCAAATGAGAACATGAAATAGATTTGCTATTAAGAATAGAATCCTCAAAGGTCAAACATTACCGTGGTCCATGTTCTTCCTCAACCATCACGTTTAGAAAACTATTTCAAGAGTGCATATGTGCACGTTTGGGTATCATTTGGGGAGTGAGGGTAGGGAGTGAGGGTAGCACATGAATTCTGGCACGAGTTTCGTAAATCAGTTTGACAATGTTGAACAATGTGATATCCTGATCCATTTAAAGGATAAATGAATTGATCAACATGAGCAGTACCGCCCGGGTGACTGATCCACTGATATTTCCACTTGAACATGTGTTTTTTTATTAATGTTAGGGTACTGTGAGAGCAATGTTGAAATGGATCATTTTCATATAGAGTTAAGAGCAAGAATTCGGTGCTCTCAAACCAAGGAAAATTAACGAGTCGGACCATGGACTGAACAATATGAAAACATTATATATCACGTTCATGACTGCAGAACACAGTTTCTACACAGCAAGCTACTGCGTCCCAACTAACTTGAAAACACTTTCCCAAAGAAACGCATCACAAAAATAGAGTTTGATACAAACCAAATATATCATTCAGCTCCAGTTCTGGTATGTGCTCGGTCCTTTCAACTACCATGCTGGCAAGTCTGATTTGTAGAACCAGGTAATTTTGTCTGGATGATATAAGGAAAACATGAGTAACGAATTGCTCCACAGAACATGCTCCGATCCTGAATTCAGTGACAAAACCTAAAGGCGTATGCTTTGTTTTAAAGAATGCAGTCGTAATGAGACATGTTTTCATTGTTGTTTCTTAACTATCAATTTGCTATGCATCTTGTTGAGTAAGTTTAAAGATACCGTATTCCCTCCAATACGCACCGGGTATCTAATGTGTGCCGGACGTCTTATGAGCGCCAGGGTTAGAGCAGTGGTTTAAGAAATAAGTGCTGGGTCTCTGATGAGCATCGGGTACGTTTTTTCATAAATGTCCAAAAATAGATTTATGAAGGAATGGTCCCTAACGCTTACTAACAATTAATTGCGGTAGATCCAGTAAGCGCAATAAGCACCGGGTCTAGGAGTCCGTTGAAAAAATATGCGCCCGGGCGCTTATTAGAGGAAATACGGTATAGAAAATCAGTACAGATCCGAGAAGCGATGGATGTTGACTGCAGTACCATAGATGATACTTGTATGAACGATCTCTGTTAGTTCTTTGATGTAATGATTGTAATCGTACCTGGAGACTGTTTCATGCATATTGTCTGCACAATCACTTATCTGGGCATGGCGATAAGTAATTTTAAAGATGAATATTAATTCATTAAAGAAATGCTTCACTGCAGATCTAGTCTCACCTTATCTTGTCAGGGGTATATGCCGCATTCAGTAAAGTACTTGGGAACGTGACATTTGATGGCAGCACCATGGATGACACTTGTATGTCATACGATGTCTCTTCACATGGGTACTGACATGCACAACTCTTCCCCATCCTGGCTTCCGACTGTACTTGATCTAAACACAAAGAGTTTTGCATTAGCAAATCCGTATGGTCCTAAGTGATATGGCGTTAGTAAGTTGTGTTTCACCTTTATTGTGTAAGTAAATATGTTGACCTCACTAGTCACTATGTGTCATGTGGAAAGATATTCGTACATCATATGCATACATTATACATTACACATACATCATGACACTTGTCCCTGTTCTTCTTACACTAATCAGCCTGCATTCTTCAAAACATATGGCAAAAATCGTATACAGTTTACAAGTATTCTTTCTGCAGTCTCCCTTCCTTTTTTCAACAGGAGAACTTACTCGTTTCCAAATTTCAGAAAGTGTTTGCTTGAAAAAGGAGCCTTTGCATGTTTGTTTATCGCAGCCATCGGCACTTTAGGACACACTTATCCTAACGCAACTTCATTGTAGCGTCAGTATGTCACAGTGATTAATAGACACACGCTTGCGAGACACATGCAACATTTTTTTGGGTTTTATCATGGGAAATCAACAATAACAATGAATTTGTACCATGGAAAATGTCAATGCTGTAGATACGTGTTTGTATATTCAGTGCAATAGAAACGATCTTACGGTAACATATTTTCACTTCCTTCACTGAGCAGTGCCGCAGACTGACTCTTGCTGAAAAATACATCACCAGTCAATGTAATACAAAGCTTGTGTGCAACTAAATTCTCGAATTCAGTAATTCAAATGTGTGTAAATGCCACAGGTTCAAGAACTATCTTAAAATGACGTGAAACTTTTCTGTATTTTCTAAGATGTTTTTTTGTGTATTGGGAGAAAAGGTAAAACGCTACACCAACAGCTTGGAGAGATTCCAAATAGTTTCAAGAAATGCCCTAAGTGAAAACAGCCATGTTCGTAGTCTATGATATTAAAGGCACACTGCCTTAGTTTAGTAAATGAAAAAGAAACAGGACACCGTTGTACTAATCCCTGTTTACTACACATAATTTTGAGACATATATCCAAATGGCAGAAACTGTGTTATTGCTTTCTTGGGATGTGAAGTGTCCACTGCTTTTGAAAATGGGAAAGGTACCTTGCTGGGGTTCCCATCCGGCGGTGCAGTTACAGGCATCCATGGCAACCTTATTTGAGCACTCCAGAAGACACCCGTCAAAACTGTACACCTTGAACCACTCCAGAGGGTTGACAAAGTCCGAGGCTTTAGTGTCCACACAATCCGTCCCGCGGGTATTATAGGGGTCTGTAAGGTACTTCTTCTGAGGGCATGTATCAACAGACGCATTTCAACAACATCGTATGCACATATATGTTAAAGATGGACTCGAGATACATGAGATTGTATGCTCCAATGCAACACACGTGTTCAAGATATTTATGGCCCTGCAATTCACTGTGCAGGGTTGTGTGTCTTCTGGGTGCCAGAAACATCCAACACTGGTTCGAATCCTAGTTCGCCACCATTGAGCTTCTAGCTTTTTCAGTCCTATATTTGTTCAACCAATTTGCTGGGAATATACCAAATTATTTAGCGTTATTCATACTGGTGAAATTAACTGATTTAGAGGTAATATCGTGTGTACTTATAAACCGATTTCAACTTATGACTCATAATTTAATATATCTTTTGGTTTTAACACAAAGCTACCTTCTTCTTTGTCAGCCCTATGCGTGTCGACGTCCCGACTGATACGCCAATCAATGAATGATCACTGTAGCTCGGCGCTGTTTCAGGTTCATCGATATATACCTGATTTAACAAAAAGAAGACGACACTGTGACACCAGATTGGAAGTTTATGAGTGCACTCATCATAACAATTATACATTCCATTATGTTTTCATAATATGGCTTCAGTTTTTGCCGTGCAAACTGCAAGTTATAAATAACCGTCTTGAATGTTCTTTTCCCATAGATAATATTCCTTCCTAGTTGTTTACTAATGTAAATAATTGAGAATGGGCCAGACAAACCAGTGACAGTGAATTTAGAAGAAAGGTTCCACATCAAAATGTTGGTCTGTAAATGTCAGAGATTGTTATACTACATTCGTCTTAGACTATGAACAAGTAGTTTGCTTTTAGACCCTTGGCACATTTCTTGGCCTGTCAGAATTATAATTAACCTATTATGATATTTACCTGTATACCTGCCTCGTATGCAGCTCCCTCCAGATAGGTATCTTGCATGATGTCGGTAGACATTGTCAATTTGGTTTCTTCAGACTCAAGAGCATTGATGTCAGCGTTAGCGTTAAAGGTGAAGCGGCGATGATCTTGCTTCTGACTATAGTTCAGGCTTTCCTGGAGGATTCGGTTATTTTTGAAGAATATTACTTTGAAAATATCCTCTTTTTTATATGCCCTACCAGCCCAGAATTTGACATTATCGAGTTTATCGAGCTCTCTCCCTTCCTCTCCGTCCCAGTCAACTTGCGGTGACATTTGTGCAAGGTACCCAGAGCTGCGAAGATAGGCTAGCTCTGCGTTAGTTAGGTTCTGTTCGCTTATGTCAAACTTGCTCAGAGTGCATATAGTGATAGCAGGAAACCTGATCTGTTGTTTACGTTCTCTTGTAATCTTGGTGATGAAGCTGTAGCTGTAGTACTTCTTGTAAAGATCAGTCAGCGAATTCAAACTCACTCCAGTCATTGTTAAAAGCAGCAATATCCATAATATTCTGAAACACAAATATATACTGGTTTACTGCCTTTTAGAGACAATACAGAAGAATTATTGATTCTCATTCATGCTCTTCGGGTGCTTTGACGTTTCGCATTTGACTAGACACAGTGGACCAGGTGGGTAATGGATTTGCAGACTGGGTTCCACATTACCCCTTGTGTAAAGAGGCAATCAGACGAGTGTGTTTCTAATGATAAGAAGCGAGCCCTTGAGAACTAGTACATATAGTTTGTTTGGCAAAATTTCAAGTTGTACCTTCTTCATGATACAAACAGTTCCGAGACATTACACTTTTCCCTGAAATGTGCAATACCAACGTCAGTGCTTGGTTTGTAACGACGGACAATATAGTTCCAGCTGAAACCTGTTTCTTATGAAGTGGGGTAACTTTGTTTGAACCATATGTATCACAAATCATCTCATTGCTGAATACGGTAAAGTGTATTTGTGTCGCACCTATGCCCTTGTATTGCTTATAATGGAGATGTTTCAAAATATTTCATAAGGCTAGATAAATATAACACAACACTTTTTTGTTGAATATGAAATTAAAGCCGTTACATACTATAAAATATATTAAAAATGACCATTTGTATGGCCATCTAAATATAGAATTGATTTAATCCTAATCGTTCAACTGTTGTACGTCCATAACAAACGGAATATGTAATCAATCACTTTGTTTTTACATTCATGTGAATGTGAAGGTAATGGTGCCACAAATGAGTTGCATATAGCGCCAATGCACAATCCATCCCATGTGTTCTGTACATGGCTGCCCCTCCAGGAGTAATGTTTCAGCCAATACTTACCAAAGTAAGGATCCTACCATTCGCTTTAAAAATACTACGTTGCATCATGCTCCTTGTTACTACCACGTCACACTTTCCCAAATACTATTTGTAAGCCTTTTCCCAACACTGTCTCAACACATAACGGCTCCAACGGGATATTGTTAGTTTTAAACATATTTTTTTGACCATAAGACAAAGGGGTTGAGCACAAGTGCTCCACTTATGGTCGCCTTCTCCCTAAGGTAACAGGGTATTGCCACCACCACGCCGATGGAAAGGGTAACAACAAACCAAAAATATTCATGACTGATCCCAGGACAACAGTGCACAGTGTACAGGATCAATTTATGGGATGCCAGGATTTCCCCCAAAAAAAATTTAAAAAAGGAATCACTTAACCGCCAGCTTTCAAACAGATATCGAGGTATGAGTCAGATTCTTCTTTGTGTATCTCTATTCCACCCTCGACGGTGACGTGTGACGCCACGTTAAAATCATTACATTGCCAACAGACGTAAATTGTACATAAGTCCAAACTAAGGTCAAGTTTTCACTTTACACCTCCTTGATAGACGTCGCCGTGTCTGACAAATTCTAACTAGACAGAGGTCTTTTTTAAACTCAGTGTCAACCTCAGACCCGATGGTAAAATTAACAGCGGAGAGTGCGAGTCCACGTCATAGAGCGCCGAACTTGGGTAGGCGGTGCCAGAGGAGTGGGACACTTAATACCCTCATGTCAAGTCAAAGATATTTATTATACTTAAGGCCTCCGGCCCATATACAAGTAATACAAGTATATATACAGCACATGTTACAAACATTTCACAAAAGAAATGACAGTTCAGATAAGATATTGCTTCTAAGGATAACAGCATGTTTTACAAAAAGCGCTAGATTACGTATTACATTTTTGGAGGATAAAATGGAAACAAAGGCAGTTGAAATTTTAACAAGTAATTATTTGGGATATATTTTGTTCTTAATAATGTGGGCATATAAAAGCGAAGTGAATTTCATCTTCTATAGCCGAGTTACATAATGGAAACATCCTTAAACTTCTCTCTATTGAAAATCGTCCGCTTTTATTTACTGATAAGTCTAACAAGCCCAATCGAAAATTGACAAATGTGCGTCTGATATTTCTAGATGTCAGTACAGATAGATATAGTTCTGGTTGAATTAAGCTCTTATGCGATCTACACAACTGATATATCGTGAAATATTGTCTAGACAGGAATGCCATTCTTGATAATACATGCTAACAGATTATTCTCGAAATTGCTTAAGAAATAGATTAATATTACCAACTGTTTGATTAAGCCACTCAAATCAAAGCCATGAGAAAATAAAAGATTTCTAATATGAGACGCACATGTTGGCCTACCCCTATCATCTAAATATACAAGCATGTTATAAGCTAGTTTTTGGGATTCTTTGTTCGTGATCCCAAGGATCTTTAACCAATATTTTAAACATCTTATTTGTGAATTTATATATATCGGATATCTACCGCATTCTCCATAAACCATATAAGTTGGTGTTGTTTGCGCTACATTTAAAAATCTTTTACTTGCTAAAAGGTGTAGTTTCTTTAGACATTCATTACGTTGAAATCCCCAAGTTTCAGACCCATAAAGCATAATCGGTTGGATTTGTGCATCAAACAATTTGAAATATATTTTCGGGGTTTAAATTTCAAAATTCTGGGAAACTGACATCACATTGATAAGAGCCTTCTTAGCACGTGATTTCAGATCTATGACACTCTTTTTAAACTTCATGGTATGGGAAAACACTATTCCGAGATAGGTATAGTGATTAACAGTAGATAATTGTTTGCCATTCAAAAAACAGTTTTCTTTAGAGGCGACAGGCCCACCTTTTCTAAAGATAACTATGTTTGTTTTTTCAAAATTAACAAATTATTTCCATTCATCTGTATAACGTTCGAAGATATTCAGTTGGTTTTATAGACCGACGGTAGTATCTGACACTAAAATTACATCATCGGCAAAAAGGAGGATAAAAATCTCAATCATATCTGGAAACATTTGCACACCATGTTTACCCTGAATCAGAAATATCATAATACAGTTCGCTTATGAAGAAGGAATACAATATAGGGCTTAAAATACACCCTTGCCGAACTCCCATGGGGCAGTCGAAAAAATCGGTAACATCATCCCCACAACGAACACATGATTTAATATTCAAGTACATATATTTTAAAATAGAATACATTTTCTCTTGTAAACTAGACTTTCGCAAGAAGTGCCATAATTTACAACGATCCACAAAGTCAAAAGCTTTCTTAAAGTCAACAAATGGTACATAAAGTTTTTCTTTATTACGCGATATACACTTTTGTATTATTGCATATAAGATATGGTCAGCAGTTGAAAAATCTTTTATAAAAGCCGCCTGTTATTCAGGAATTAAGTTTCTTAGATTTGACCAGTTTGAGATTCTGTTGTTTAAAACAGTTGTAAATATTGTCCCAATAACACTCATTAAAGATACGCCTCTATAATTATCTGGATTGTCTTGAGACCCCTTTTCATGTATAGGGACGATAATTGAACGAGACCAGCTTTCTGGAAATTAGCCACTTTCAAAAACAGTATTGAAACACTTATGGAGGAAGGACATTAACTCGACTTGAAACCATTTAATTATTTTGATTATAATACTGT